AGTATTACTAAAGTTTATATTTTTATTTGCATTTATATTTTAACTTTTTATTTAATATTCAATGAATTATTGCAAATGCTTTTTTTAAATTAAAATTTTCACTTTCTTTCATTCTCGTTTTTCATTTTTGATTTTAATAGAAAATAAATAAATTGTTGGAGAGAGAGAGAGAGAGAAAAAAAAAAAGAAAAGAAAATCAATTCAAAGCATTGTTTGTTCGTTTTTTTTTTCATTTTTCTCTTTCTTTTAGGCTTTGTCAATCATCAATCATTGCTATAACATATTGAAAAGTAACATAAAAAATAAAAAATTAAAAAGAGAAAAAAAAAAAAAAAATTTTGTCAATCGTTTATTTCTTCTTTCTTTGATAGGAAAAAAAAAAAGGAAAGAAAGTTTGAAAGAGAAAATTTAATTTGCATCTTTTATACAAAGCTTTTTTCTTTTTCTTTTTTTTAAAAAAAGAAAAATTTTTTTTTCAGAATCATTGAAATTTAAAAAAATGACGATGAAATTTTTGCTCTTTTATTTTTTTTTTTGCAAATTTTCGTATTTTAAAAATGTTTTTTTTTCCTCCCTCCCTCTCTCTCTCTCTCTCTCTCTCTCTCTCTCTCATTTCTTTATCACTGTTAATAAATGCATTAAATTTTAATTATTTCAATAAATTAATAAATTCATTTATTTAATGTTTGTTAAAAAAAAATTTAATAATTTTATGGGTAATTTCTGGGTAGGGTATATTTTTCTAGAAAATGAAATTTATTGATTTATTGATTTAATAACATTTCACTCTCCTTTTTTTTTTCTTTGTTAGCTAAAGTAAAATCAAAACAAGTTTAGAAATAAACAACTTTGCTACATTGATTTATCCATTCTTCAAATTTAATTATGCTTACTATTAAGCTAATAATTTAGAATTTTTAGTGTTACAAAAAAAAAAAGTAAAACTTTTTTTTTGTTTAAATTTATTTTATAATTAATTTTTTGCTTTCACTTTTTAGTAATAAAATTTTTGGAGAAAAATTTGAAATGTTATCAATAATTTTTGCATTTTGTTAAACAAAAAAGAATGAATTTATCATTTTTTTTTCAGTTTTTTAATTTCAGTTTTTTTTAACTTTTTTTTGTAATTTTTTTCAATTTTTTTTTTTTTTGTTATAATAAATTCTTTTTTTTTTGTGTGTATTATTATATTACAATCGTATTAAACTAATAAAAATAAATGAATAAGTAATAAACAAAATCATTCAAACAATTTTTTTTCGTTTAAATTTTTCCTATTTTGCATTTTTTTCTCAACTGATAAAAAATAATTGTAACAAAAAAAAAAATAAATTTTAAATTATAATAAAATAATAAGTTATAATTTATAAATTTACAAACAAATTTTTTTTTTTTGTTTATTTTTCAGAAAAAAAAAATTGCAATTTATTTTGTTAGCAAAATTATATTTTACTTTTATCATTTTTATGCAATTTTATTTTTTCCATCAATAATTTTTGTCCTTTTTCTTTTTTTTTTTTTTGTCATTTTATTTTAATTGAACAATATTTTATGATTATTTAAAAAAAGAAAGAGGGAGAGAGAGACAGAGAAAGAGAAAGAGAGAGAGAGAGAGAAAAAAAAAGATTTATGATTGTCTATTTTCAGGGATTATTTAAAATCATTTGTGATTTGCATTCAGAATGGCTGTATTCAAAAAATTAAAAAATAAAAAAGACAAACAAATTACATCATCGTTACCTGATCCGGAATCAGTCAAGCAACTTGATAAACGTGTTGGCTTACAGACGTATCGTGATTTTTTCACGTTAAAAAATTACTGGAAAACAATTGATCGTAAAAAAATGAATGCTGCTACAATAATGCTTCAAAGGTTTGAAAAAAAAAAATGAATTTTTTTGTTTTTTTTTTTGTTTTTGATGTTTACAAAATTTGCTGTTAATATTAATTAAATTAAAAATTTTAATTAATAAATTAAGAAATTTTTTTTTAAAAAAGAATATAACAATGTAATAAATAATAAAAAAAAGATATGATTAAAATGTAAAAAAAAAAAGAAACAATTCATTCTTTTTTGAAATTTTTAAAAATTTTTAAGTAACAATTGCAAGAAAAAAAAATACGAAGTATTAATTTATAGACTAATATAAAGTTTATTTCATTTGAAAAAGAAATTTTTTATAAATAATTAGGGTTAAATTTTTTATAAGTAAGCTAAGATAATAAAACAATGATCACATTCGGGCAATTAATATTTTAGATAATTGTTAATGTCATTTAAAATTAGTCATTAAAAAGTAATAATGAAAAATAATAATTTATTATTATTGATGAAAATTTTTGGAAAAATTTCGCTAAAATATTTTAATTTTTTTATTTCAAAATTTAGTTTTATTTTCCTTTTCTGCTAACCAATACATTTGCATGAAATATTCAACACAAATCAAATATTAATAATTTGAATAAGTTAATTGAATTTATTATCCAAGAAATTGTTTTATGTGTTTGTACTTCGATGCTTTTTCATTTTCTCCCACAAAGATATTTTTAATTTTTGTTGATAATAATTAAATTGATACTATTATTATTATTATTGTTTATTATCATTGCTATCACTTTTATTAAATACTATTATTATTATTATTATCATCATCATCATTATTTTTTTTTTTAAATAATAATTTTGTCATTAATTACAATTCACAATGCTAAAAAAAGCATTCATAGGAATTTTATGAAAAAAAAAAGACGAGGAAAGGAATAAATATTAAGCACTAATAAAGATAATTTAGCATTTTTTTCTAAACAAACTTAATTTTCGTAAATTCCCAAAGTTTTAATTTAAATCTGAACAAAAATGATGCATTTTTTAAATGATAAAATGAATAATATAAAAAATTATGCTTTTCTATTTTTTTAATAAACTAATTTTTTGTTATAAACTTTAGCGAAAATCTTTCTGATAAAGAAAAGCAAAAGGAATACTTGCATTTGTTTAAATTTTCTAACTCATTAATTGATAAAAGTTACAATTATCAAAAATAAATTATACCATATGCGAGAGTAATTATTTTATAAATTAGGAATTTAACTTTAAGTTAGATTTGCTCTTCCTTCTAAAAAAAGTTAATTAATTTTTTTTTTCTCAATTATTTTACATGAAAGTAATTAAAATGGGCAAAATTATCCATTTCATTTCATCGTTTTACCATTTATTTTAACTTTAGTATTAAATATTTCATACAAAGTTGTGCGTTTCTTATCAGTGCAAAATTAATATTAATACTAAATATATTACAAAAAGAATTACAAATAATAATGTTAATATTAACACTGATATTAATATTATAATAATATTAGGTAAAATAATAATAGTAATAATAATATCAATCATAATAATAATAATAACGGTAGTAATAATAACAAACAATAATAATTAGTGAATAAACAAATAAATAAATAAATAAATGATAGTAATAACAGTAACAAATAAATAATGATAGATAAACAAATAAAATAGTAAATAAATGATAATAGTAACAGCAATACATTAATAATAATAATAATAATAATAATAATAATAATCGTAGGAATAGTAATAAACAACAATAATGAATAAATAAATAAATGATAGTAATAACAGTAACAATTAATAGTGATAGACAAACAAATGACTTAGTAAATAAATAAATAATAATAGTAATAATACTAATAATTATGATTATTAATAGTAATGAACAATAACAAACAATAATATAATAATGAATAAGTAAATAAATGAATAAACAAATAAATAATGAACAATAATAATAATAATAATAATAATAATAATAAGATAATAAAAGTAAATATAATAAATAAGAATTTAAAAATGACTAACAAATGAAATATTCTCTTACTCATTTTAATGAATAAAAAAAAAAGAGAAAAAAGAAAAGAAATATATAAATATATTTGTGTATGTATAATATCAATCATTGCTAAGCATATTATTCGTGTAATAGCATTTTGAAGAGAAAAAGTTAAAAATGATAGAAATTGAAAATGAGAACAAAATGACAGCCATCTATATATTTGGTTGTCATGACAGCCTAGGCTAGAATAAACTCTTGGCTGCAACCCTAAAACTTCTCTTCTCAATCATCATTTTTCATTCATTTATAATTTCTTCAAAACGAAATATTTCACATCTAGTACTATTTTATTACTGTTTAATTATTACTGTAATTACTATTTCCTAACTGAATTGAATTGAATTGAATTCAAGTAATCAATTATTCATTTATTGCTATTATTTGCTAAATAATACGATGAAACTATTTTGACTAAATGAATGGAATTTGGAATTATTTTTATTACTAATAATTAATTGAATATTTAAAGAGGAAAAATTTGGTAGAATTAATAATATTTTTTTTTTTCCTTGTCTTTTTTTTTTTTTTTATTAATTATTTATTCATAAAACTGTTTCTTTCTTTATTTGTACTCAAAATAAGCATTTATTAATTTGACTATAAAATATTCTTTTATTAAATTTTATATTATTTTAGAACCAGAAAGTGAGAGAGGGAGAGAGAGGGAAAAAAACGAAAAAACGAAGAGAAAAAAGAAAGAAAGAAAAAAATTGAACGATTATTCTTATTTTTGCGCTTTATTTTTATTTTACTATTCAATCCAACTAATTAACTGTAACTGATAATTGATTATCTTAACAATTTCAACTAATACGATTCTATTTTTTTTTTTTTTTTTTTAAAAAGAAAAAATATTATTTCAATTTTAAACGCTTACAATACGACGACAATATATATTTGAAGCATTAAAAATTAATAATTATTTTATTTGCTGTATTCCTAACATAAACGAAATAATATTGCGAATTCTTTACTGATGAAGAAAAAAAACAAAAAATTTTGAAATGAATGGAAAAATTTTTTAAAGTCAAAAATTTGACTGATGCTTAAAACTATCGGTTACATAAACAAAACATCTCAACAATTATGGGTTCGGGAAGTAGTGTACCGGCTCAATCACGTAATATAGCCGGTGGCGGTAATGGCGGTGGCGGTGGCGGTAATGAAGCAGGAGTTGAAAATGGTGAACAGCAAAAAGTTGATCCACGATTACCATATCCAAATTTTCGGGAATTATTCACATTGAAGAATTATTGGAAAACTGTAAGGCGAAATGATCGTGATTGCGCCAAAATGATAATTGCTAAGTTTGTTGCTAAAATTTTATGAAATAATAAATTATTAAAATATTTTAACAAATTTATTTTATTTTAATTTTTTCAATTAATTATATTAAATTACCGATAATTGTTTACAAATTTTTGAAAAAAATAAATGTTATGATAAATGATAGAATATATAATAATAATAATAATAATAATAATAATAATAATAATAATAATAATAATAATAATAATAATATTATTATTATTATTATTATTATAATATATATATATATATCTTAAATTTTTTTTTTTTACAAAGACTTAAAAAACTTGCTGTATTAGATTTAAATTCAAATTTATTTGAATAGATTTACTCATGCAATCACTTTTAATTAGAACCTATATTTTTTAGTACAAAATGTTTTTTATAAAATATTTGCTGAGCAAAATTTGTAAACATTTAAAAATTATTTAAATGGTATTAAATAAGCATTTTAAATTTAATTTATATCAAACAATAAATCGTTATGAAAGCAAAATATTATTAATTTGAAAAAATAATTTTAAACTTTTTTATTTTTGATAAAAATGATAATTAATCATTTATAAATTTTTCAAAAGTATTATCATTATTCATTAGAATATTATCGTTATCATCATAAAATATTATCATTTTTAAATTATTATCAAATTATCATTTTTTTTTCAACAAACATTATTAGTATGTAAAGTATTAAAATATTATCATTGATAACTTTTGCTACTATATTTTACCTAATTTTTTTTTTTTTTTTTAAAATTAGTTGTATTACTTTTATAATAACAAAAAAGTATCATAATGTTTTTTTATAAATATCCTTATTTTTTACTTGTCTTTTTTATAAATTATAAGTTTTCTTAGTAATTAAAACCACATAGATATTATTTTCAATTTAAATTAAATAAATAATTCGCTTATTTATTTATTCATTTTTTGAGTTCCTTTAGTAAAACATTACTTTCTGAGCATTTTTTTCGGAACAATTTGAGAAAATTAATTACCAAAACTAATTCTTTTTTTCTATTTTGGGATACTTTTTCATATCATCAAATTTAATTTTCTTTAGTAAATTAATAATTTATCTCTTTTCCTGGACTCCAAATAAAATTGTGTAAAATAATTAAAAAGCTGTATTTCAGTATTTCAATTCAAATAGAGCTATTATTATTATTATTTAATATTTGCTCACTTGCAAGTAATAATTTACATCCTTTTTATCCTAAACTCTAAATGAAATAGTGCAAAATAATTAAAAAGCTCTATTTCAGTATTTCAATTTGAGTAAAGGTATTATTATTTACCCTCTTTGAAGTACTGTAAAGTATATTATAACACTTCAAAATATATTACCAATGATTTAGAACTAATTAAAATAATTTTAAAACAAAAATGCAATGATATTTACTTGCAAATCTGTTAAAGTGAAAGTTTTCACTTTTTTATTTCTGATTGAAAACGATTTTTTTTTAAAAAAAAAGAGAAAGTTTACGCATAAAAAGTGAAATATGCCATTTAATTTCAGAGAAAAATTTTTCCTTTCCTCAATAATATTTCCTCAAATATCTTTCAAAAGAAAATTAATCAAAGAATTTATTGAATAATTAAAACATGCATAATTCTGAGGGTATATTAGTATAAAAAAAAAATCTAAATTTTGCTATTATATTATTAATATTATTAGTAATATGAATGTCCATCAAATTATGCAAATCTTGATAGTAACAAGTAAGAGAGAGGAATGATAATCGTAATAATAGTGATAATAATAGTAATATGAATATACTAATAATAATAATAAATATTTTAGTTCATAGTAATAAGTAATAAAAGGAATAGTAATAGTAATAATAACAGTGATAATAATATTAATAAAAATAATAATAATATTGATAAATAATAATGAATAAATATTTTACTTCATAATAATGAGTAATAAAAGGAATAATAATATTACTAATAATAGTAATAATAATAATAATAATAATAATAATAATAATAATAAATAAATATTTTACTTACAGATACTTACAGCAAAATCCCGATAATAAGGAAAAATATCCGAAACTAAAAAACATTGACGTAAATACGGTGAGTGCTGCAACGGCGGATTCTGGTTTTGAAACAGTCGCAGCTAATTATTTAAAGGTTAAAATTTGCTAATATAATTTTAGCATTTGAAAATTTTCTTTATAAAAAAGTTAAAATAAAAAGTTTAAGAAAAGTAAATTTAATTTTCCTTCTTAAAGGTATTTGATGATGTAATAACAACCGTTGAAGAAAAACCAGCGGACGTCTCGGATGCTTGTTCACGGCTTACAGCTGTCGGTAAAATGCATAGGACAAAGGTAAATTTATTTTTTTAAATTTTACAAATTAATGATTTCACAGATGCACTGAAAATGAAATTAAAATGAGAGAAAATAAGGCTGAATATGACAAAATTTAAATATAATTTAAAATTTGAATATTTTTAATTATTATTGTGATCTTATCATTAATAACAAAAATATTTTCTCAATAATTATAATCAAAACAGTACCATTATTAAATATGTATGATAATAATTGAGAAAAATATTTTTACTTTAGAATAACTTTTTATCTTTTATTAATTTTTAATTTAAAATATTATTGTAAATTTAATAAATTGCTACATATTTAAATATGTATTAAAATAATCTTACAATTTTCTAGCAATTGATAAATTACGATTTATTTTTAGAAGAGAATTTCTTTAACTATTTTTTTTTTTAAATATTTCAATTTTATATAACAAAAAAAATATATGCATATTTTGCTATTTTTTAATACTTTCCTTAAAATGATTTCTTTTTTTGCATACTAAATAAAAAAATTAAATATGCAAAATGAAAAAAAAAAAAAAAATTCTTTGGTGTAATTAATTTTATTAAACTTTTTTTTTTTTTTTTTTGAATTATGAATTTTTTTACTTATACCTGTGATTTATTACAGGTAAATGGAATGGATGGTAGTGAATTTCAATTACTTGAAGAACCATTTTTATCTATGATCAGTGAAATATTGCAAGATCGTTACAATGATAAAGCGGAAAATTTATTTAGGAAATTTTTTCAGTTTTGCCTCAAATATATTCTTGAAGGCTTCAATTCATAGCATTGATATTGATATGATAATATTTATATCAGTAAATATTATACATTAAAATTTTTATTTATGTATATTAATTAATTAATTAATGCTTTAGACAGAAGTTAATTTAGTAATACTTTTGATTAATAATCATTTGATCAGCATTTTATGAATGATTGATTCATTTTGCATTTTGCTGCTAATAATTAATTAATCAAACAACGTTCAAACAATATTGTTATGAATAAATAAATTAATTAATAAATGGTTATATTTTAAATAAATAAATTAATCTATAAATTTTATTTTCAACCTAATTTTTTTGTAAATTATAAAATAATTAGAATTTTTGCTTTTTGAAATTAGTATTAATTTTTATGATAATTAACAAAATTTCATGGTAACGAGTTAATCAAATGATCACTTAAAACTTTAAAACTTTTTTTTTTTTTTTTTTAAATCAATTTTCGTCAAAAAAAGCTTCAAAGTTATGCATTTTTTTTTTCTTTTTTTGGGTTGTTTTTGAAAAAGTAAATTATACTTCTAAAATTTCAGCATAAAAAAAAATTTTTTTTCCCATCATATTAATATTTTGCCAAATAATATGATAAAATGATAAATTAAAAATGATAATTAAAAAATAAATTAAATAAATCACGATATTCGGTAAAAGAAAAAAACGAACAAATAAACAAATAAACAAAAAATCAATAAAACAATTATTCGCTTTTTTTTTTTCTCTAGTCATTTTGAATTGTTCTTTAATTATTTTTAAATGTCTTTGCTTTTACTGATAATGTCAAATTAGCATCCTGTGAGACCATTCATTTAGCATATTTTAGTTAAAATTTCCATTTTAAATTTGATAATTTCATTTATTACAAATGAAATTTCAATTTTTTTTTTTGCTTTCTTTGTTACATATTTAATTGTTTGATTTAAAATTATTTATTTATTGAATCAATTATTTTGTTTGTGATTTAATCTTTAAATATTTCGTAAATTTATCAAACTATCCATTAAACTATCTATTCATGTCATTTCATTTCATTTTCAAACTTTATTTATTGTCATTTTAAATTCATAATGTCTTTTCTTTCTGTTTTTTTTTTTTTTATTTTCGTTTGAAAAAAAAAATTTAATTAAATTAGAATTCATTTAAATTTTTTTTTTTTTTTTTTGAAAAGTTCTATGTAGTAAGCATAATGTATAGCTAAAAAGCAACACAAAGTACGGGTAAAAAGTTATATTTTTGCTAATAAATGGCAATATTTTTTTTTAGCAAAATAATTTTGAAACGAAATTTATAAAAATTTATAGTATAATGCAAGTTTTTATTAAACAATAATTTCATTTATTGATCGCTAATTTAATTAGTAAAATTCTGATATTTGAAAAAAAAAAAAAAAAAAAAAAAAACGATAGAAAGAGAAATAGTTATAAATTATTGATCAAATATATAATGAAATAATAAAAGTTACCTATCTCTCATGCATATCATATTATCAATAACAATTTTTAATTAGTTAAAATTAGATGCAAAGTGATATTTTAGCATTTTAATTATCAAATAATTTTATAATAAAATAATAACTTTAATAATTTTATAACCAAGTAACGATGATATTATCATTAGTTAAGAATTGAAAATGATCAAAATTAAAATGATAAGCTAATTAATCTCTTTTTTCCTATATTTTTTTGTGTAAAATAATAGAATAAATGTTTGTTTTTTAATTGTTTTCCAATTAAACACAATAATTTCATGTGGTTTTGCTTTCTTTTTAAATTTTTATTTTGATATGTTGCGTTGTGTATAATGTATGCATAAATATTATTTCAATTATCACAGTAATATTCAAATTATTATATAGTTTAATTTTATATTTTAAAATATTTTGAATTTTTTAACAGGAATTTTTCTTTTCTTCACTACAATATGTAAGCATAAAATTTATTTGAAAAAAAGAAGGTTTTTTAATTCATTTAGTAAATGTTATATTATTATTAAATCAACAATTGCTAGAAATGTCATATCATTATATAACAAAAAATATCATATCACTATATCAAAGATATTATATCCTATATCATAAATACCATATCACTATATCAAAAATATCATGTCACCATATCAAAATATCATATCACTATATTAGAAATATCATATCACTATATCAAAATATTATATCACTATATCAAAATATTATATCACTATATTAAAAATATCATATCACTATATCAAAGATATCATATCCCATACCAAAAATATCATATCACTATATCAAAAATATCATATCACTGTATCAAAAATATTATATCACTATATCAAAATATCATATCACTATATCAAAAAATATCACTATGTAACAAAAAATATCATATCACTATATCAAAAATATCACTGTATTAAGATATTATATCACTATATCAGTAGTTATCATATCATTATATCAATGATTGATAAAAATTTCCTGCTATGATGAATTATTGAAGTAATACATAACAATCATTAAGCATTATCAATTCAAATGTTTTATTCAAATGATAAATGAAATGATTTAACAATCAAAAAGGACAAAAATAATGCATATATTAGTTGAAATTTGTTCACTGCGCTGTACTTAGCAGTTTAGTTTATATTATTTGTGATATGAAATTGTAGGATTTTTAACAAAATACTATTTACAATCTGTAATGATAACATTGATAATATTCAGAAATAGAAATATTATTGTATTCAAATTCTTTGATTCAAAAAATCATTCAAAAAGTTAGCAAATTAATAATTTATTATTGAATAATCGATTAATGGTTAATAATGGCAACGAAAATAATAATATTAATATAATAATGACAATAATGGCAACAGCAATAATAAAAGCAACAATAATAATGATAATAACAATAGTATTAATAATAATGGTAATAACAATAGTGAGAATAATAATGATAACATAATGATAATGATAATAGTAGTAATAATGGTGATAATGACAATAATAATAGTAATAATAATAATTATAATGATAATAATGATGGTTTAATTACAACCATCAATATTATTTATTACCGCTATCATTATGTTATAACTGGTATAATAATAGTAGTGTTAATTACTATATAAATAATAATGACATCTATGATAACAGTAGTAATAGTGATATCCTATGAAGAATAATTATACAAACTATAAATCAAAATTTTAAATCCTAAAAAAAAATTAAAATACTAAAGATTAACATTTATTCTTGCATTTAATAAAAATTCAATTCATTAGTAAAAATTTAAATAAAAATATTGGATTACCAATTAAAATTATTCCATTAGTGAAACTTTTCATCAATTTGATAATTTATAGGACAAACAAAAATTTTTCATTCAATTATAGCAGGAAAGATGAAAAGGATGCAATAATTGATAAATGATATCAAAGGATAGAAATAATCACTCTGAGAGAGAAAGAGAGAAAGAGAGAGTAGTGATAAAATGAAGATTATGTGATAATGGAATGAGAGGGAGAGAGAGAGACAGAGAGTGATAGTAACGGAAGTGGGTTGAGAATGATATGTGACATTTAGTTTCGGAAACAAAACAGAAATTTCAATACTTCCGTTAATTGCGACAAATTTAAACTGTGTGTGACATTTCTCTCCGCTACTACAGATCTTCTGCATCGAATTAAATGCCTACTAATTATCGCAAAATATCAGCAAAATTTCCGCACTTTTCTGCATATTCACGAATAATTACCGGTCCGGAACAAATTCATGAATCGATTTTAATTCCTGAAAATGGTAATTCTTTTTTTTGTAATTGATCCTTTTCTCTCTTTTCGTTTCATTTTGTATTTCTTTTTGTTCTCAATTTTTTGAATAAATTATGATAGAAATATTGTTATAATGAAAAAATGAATATAACTTCTGATTGTATTTATATTCAATTAACAAATCAATTGGTAAAGTTTAATTTTAAATAACGAAAGTATCAGTTATAAATATTAGAAATTTTTTTAATGCAACATTGAATATATAATTTATTTTACAAATAACAATTCTGTGATAAATATGATCCATCGGAATATAAATTGTAAGTTCGAATAATTTAGAAATGATATTTACAAAATAAAAAAAAATTAAGCAATTTTAAAATAACGATTCATTAAAACAGCAAATGAAGCGAAAATTAATGGTTTTAAATGAAAGAATAGTTTAATTTTTTATTTCATTTCAACATGTGAAGTAAATTACTAGAAATTGTTTAATTTGGCACAAATAACTTCGTTGATATTGAACGCGGGTAATTGTTATAAAAATAATGATAATGATAATGATGATATAATAATAATAATAATAATAATAATAATAATAATAATGTGATAATAGCAATAATGACTATAGTAATAATAATAAAAATTAATAAAGGAATGACTTAATTTATTATTTCATTTCAACATGCGTTTTTTCGTTTCATTTGCTCTTTTAATCAATTGTTATTTTAAAATTGCCCATTTTTTTTTTTTTTTTTTTGCATTTTGTAAATATCACTTCCAAATTATTCAAAAATATTTAAAATTGCTTAATTTTTCATTTCGTAAAAAAAAAATCACTTTTAAATTATTCAAATAACATACACATTCTGATGGATTTTTATCACAGAACTGTTATTTTTAAAATAAATTATATATTCAGTGTTGCATTATAAAATTTTCCAATATTTATAACTGATACTTTCGTTATTTAAAATTAAATTTTACCAATTGATTTGTTAATTGAATATAAATATAATCAGAAGTTACATTCATTTTTTTTTCTTTTTTTTTTAATTTGTATGATCAAATGATCGTTTTATTTCATTATAGCTATATTTCTATCATATTTTATTCAAAAAAATGAGAACAAAAAGAACTACAAAGTGAAATGAGAAAAAGAGTAATAATAATAACAATAATAATAATAGTAAGTAATTAATAATATTTATAACAATATAACAATAACAATATCAATAATAATAAATAGCAACAACAATAATAATAAATAATAATGATAATAACTATCATTTATCAAACATAGCATTATTGCAATATCCACCGGATGGTGGTGCAACAACAATGTTTGAATTATTACAACGAGCTATTTGGTTAACAAATAACGGTGATTTTATTGGTGAACAAACAAGAAATGGTACATATAAATGGATGACATATAAAGAGGTTTTCATTTTTTCTTATTTTTCAAACTTTTATCTTTCTTTTTTATCACTTAATAAAATTTATTTTAATTGTTTAACTAATTTAACAATAAAGAATTTTGGCAGTGATAGTTAATAGAACAAATAATTTACATTTCTTCATTATCACAAACGATGAACTTCAAAAATATTTTACAGAAACTATTAAAATGATTTAAATTATCAGATAAATTAGTTAATAGTTATTTAATTCGAGAATAAAAGAAAACAATCGTTCAGTTCTTTCTTCTTTGTAATCCTTTCCTTTTTTTTTTATTCTAAAATAAGATTTTTAATGGTAAAATTGTTTTTTTTTTTTTGATTGACAATGCTTATTTAATCAAAAATTTATAAAAAATAACAAATCATACAAAAGAATTCGTTTTCTGTTATTCTGAAATAAAATTTTTAATGCTAATTTGTTTTATTTAAAATTAATAATGTTTATTTAATTTATTGATTTTTTTTTTTTTTTTTTTAAAAAATTAGTAGTCTATAAATAATGAATAAATATAAATGAATAAAAAACCAATTATATTAATTTGATTTTTTTTTGTATGATAGGTATTTTCCAGGTATATAATGCATCACATATGATTGGCTCTGCCTTACTAGAACTTGGCATAAATGCAGGTGAGGCCAGCCGAGTTGGTATTGCTGGCCTTAACTCGGCTCGTTATATCATTGCTCAAAATGCTCTAATCAATTATTCTATTGTTTTCGTACCATTATATTATAATTATAATATGGAAATTTTATGGTTAGTATAGTTGTAAAAACAAATTTTAGTATTTCTTTTTTACTGCCCTGTTTCCTTGCGAAATAAAGTAATTTTCCTTTCTTGATAGTTCAGATTGTTGACTTCTTTGTCCTCAGTACTGGTAGAATCTCAAATCTGTACTGGTTTCGTTCTGTGTACGTGTACTGTGGGAGTCTTCGTGAAATACTTTATTATTCAAATCTCAAATTTGGGTAATTAACCCACAGATTAACATTAAGAATTATACGACATTACAATAATGAATTAATGCATTACATATAAACGTAAATTATAAAACATTTAAAGATATAAGCAAGCTAGACACCTCGCAACCGAGCCATACCAAACAAAGAACTATAATGAATGGCTTTGTAAGGAAGAAAATTGGGAGGGATTTTATGGGTGTTAAGAGGTGTTAAGGTTACAAAGTGGATTAAGATCACTTAAAAACAATAATAGTCTTTGTTTACTACGTTATAGCTTTGCCGTTGTTGCTTATAAATGTAATTTTAATTTATTTTTTTTAAAAAATAAAATTCAAAATTAACAAAATATGATTTTTAGGCCCTAAAATTGTTACAAATATTATAATATGGCTTAAGTAACTTGTTTTTTTTTTTTTTTCTAACTCTTCTAATTAATTTTCTTCTAGTTAATTTAACTCAATTTATAGCTAATAATAGGACTAATTTCATTGCTTTTAATGTAACATTTCATTTAAGTAATAAGAAATTTTACCTCAAAAATATTTGACATTTTTTTATGTCATATTGAAACATTTTAAAAATTTTTGTGCTAATTTTCCTTTCTTGTTTTTCGCCACCAAAACTAACATTAAAAAAATTTCAGTACAATTATTGATCGTTGCAAATTGGAACTAATTTTTTGTGATACAATTGAACGAGCGAATAAATTTGTCGCTGAAATACGACAAAAAAAGCTTAAAATGCTTAAAAAAATTATTATTTTGAATGATGAAAAAGAGAAAATTGATCGAGAATTTTGTAAACATTCAGAAATTGAGGTATATTCACCTTTAATAAATTAATTTTAATGTAAATTAAACATTTTTTGGAACAAAAATAAAAAAATAAAATAAAATTTTTGTTTTGAGTAAGTTACTTTATAAAAACTTAAACATTTAGCATATAATTTAAGAAAACACTTATATGCATTTTGTTAATTTTAGATTTATGATTGGAATTATCTATTAGAACTTGGTAATTCAAATTTAAAACCTGTAACACCACCATCACCATCAAATATTTATATCATTTGTCATACTAGTGGTACTACAGGTTACAAAAAATTTCTTTTTTTATTACTATTTTAATATAATTATTTGAATATAATTTAAGAACAAAACTTAAGTTAATTACTATTTTACTATATTTATTTATTATAATTAAGTACCACACAGTAAATAAATACCAGGAATACATATTAAGAAAAAGTTAAGTTAATTTTTCACTTATACTTTATAAAATAATAAGTAGTATTATTATAATTAATTTCAACACAGTAAACAAATACCAGGAATAGATATAATATCTCAAAATATTATTACTCAGATAAATTAAATAGTACTCAGGTAACGATAATATTATCAAATCAAATATTGCTTAATCTTTAGATACTCCAAAAGGTGTTCAATTGTCACATCGAGCAATATTAGTATCAATGAGCGGATTATATGTTCAATTATGTTTACCGCCTCATGATATCATTTTTGATCATAATGATGTTTACTTATCATTTTTATCACTTGCACATGTTTATGAGCAGTTACTTCAAGTCAACAAATTTCTTTATTTTATTTTATTTTTCTTCTTTCAATCTTAGTTTTAATTTTTTTGCTGCTAATAAAACTTTTAAACTTTTGAAATAGTATTAAAATTTTTGAAAAAAAAGTATAATTTATTAACAAATTTTAAAGTTATGATTGAAGTGTGATTTATTAATAAAATTTAAAGTTATGAATGAAATTTTTGAAATATATCATTGATAAATGAAATTTATTAATAAGGTTAATAAAAAGTAATTAATTAATTAATTTAGGCATTTATTATTTATATTGGTGGTCGAATTGGTATATTTGGTGGTGATCCAAAGCGATTAATTCATGATATGAAATTATTACAACCAACAATTGCAGCATTCGTACCACGATTATTGAATCGTTATCATGATATGGTGATAGAGAATATAAGAAAGCAGAATATTATAAAACGATTTATCTTTTACATAGCATTAAAAGTATATGCTTCATTAACTAATTATTTTGAGTGAATTAAAAAGTTAAAAAAAAATTTTTGAATGATAAACATTGAAAATTTAATAAATACTCAAAAAGTTACCATTTAGAACTTGAAAAAATTTTTTTTTCAAATATTATTTAAAATCAAACAAAGAACAAAGAGTGAAAAAGGTAAGCAAATCATTTAAAAAATTTTTTTTAAAAGAAATATTAGCAAAAAGTTAATAAATATTCTTCCGAAACTTTTTTAATTTGATTATTTCAGAATATTTAATAACTATAACAGATATCACCTTTGTTCAAATAATGGATCAATTTGAAATTTATTTAATGAATTATTTACGAATTTAAGCTACTTAATGAATTATCTAAGGGATTTAAATTAAACAAGTTTGTTAAATAGAAATATTTAGTGGAAATTACGACAATTAGCCAAAGGACGACTTCATTTCAACACATTCTGGGATAAAACAGTTTTCAAAAAAACTCGAGCTCTATTTGGCGGTCAATTGCGCTTAATTACATCTGGTGGTGCGCCAATTTCCACCGATGTGATGAATTTTTCACGGGTTGTTTACGGTTGTTTATTAATTGAAGGGTAAGTGAGGAATTTATCTTTCAATTTAAGTAAAAATTTAATCAAAATTTGTTAGGAATTTAATGCATACCAAAAAATTACTCATTCATATTCAAAAATGTTTTAAATACATTAAAAATTTGATGGACAATTTCAAATTAACTAAATGAGAAAAGAAAAAAAGGTCAAATTAAAAATTTACTTTTTATTTTTTTTAATCAAAACGATTTAAAATTATAATTCTTTCAAAATATGCAAATTTTTTTTCCTAGTTATGGCCAAACAGAATGTTCAGCAGCTGGTACTATATCATTACCATTTGATACAATTAGTGGACATGTTGGTGGACCAGCAGTTTGGGCCCAGGTCAATTTCTTAATTTCATATAAAATATTCTCATTTGTTTTTTTTTTTTAAATGCAAATAACCATTTCAAATATGAAATGATAATTTAAATTTATAATATTTCTCAATGAAAATATAAAAGTTGTTATCATCAATATTAGGTGAAATTAGTGGACGTAAAAGAAATGGGATATAGTGCAGAACAAAATACCGGCGAAGTATGTTTTCGTGGTGCCGGTATTATGGATGGTTATTTTAACGATCCGGAACTTACATCACAAACAGTAGATGAAGAGGTTAAACGGAAAACTTAAAATTCTCGGAAAATTTAAGTAAAAAAAAAAAAAATTATCATATTTCGCAATTAATAAAATTTGAAGTATTTCATCAATAGTAAGAAATAAAGTTTTACTTTTTTTATAAACACATAATTGATTTCATCAAAAAAAAAAAATGTGTCGAATTTATTTTTTCTTTCTTTTTTTTTAAAATAATTTTTTCAATTTAGGGTTGGTTACATACCGGTGATATTGGAATGTGGTTACCTAATGGTTCATTGCGTATTATTGATCGAAAAAATAATTTATTCAAATTAGCACAAGCTGATTTTGTATCACCTGAACAAATTGAAAATGTTTACTTGCAACATCCTTTGGTGAAACAGGTAAATCTGAAAAAGATGAGAAAAAAAGAAAACAATTTAATAGAATTTTTGGAAAAAAAATTTTTTTTTTTTATAAAATTTCTATAAGTTTTTTTTTTTCTTTGTTTCTGTTTCTTATAAATGATTTTGTTTAATGTAGCACAATTATTTATAAATTTTAACAATTTTTAAAATGTTTGAAATTTTTTCAGAAAGATTTTTTTATAGTTTAATTGAAAATGCTCAATTGTTAGAGTGAAATTTGCAGCAATAGAATTCAAAAATAATTTAAAAATTTAGTTTAAAGTGATGGAATAATTTTCATTTCAGATTTTCGTTCATGGCTCAACAATTCATGCATATTTAATAGCTATTGCTGTTGTTGATGTTGACAAACTTCGCGCTGATATTGACAAATCAAACAAGAAGGTAAATTTTTGAAAATTTTTTGAATTTTTTTTCGAAAAAATTTCTGAAATTTTTTCTTTTTTTTTGCATACCTCTATAGATTATTTATTAACCACATGCGCCAATTAAATAAAATTTCTCTATTCTATTAAATAAATAATTTGAATAGAAAATGAAAATCAATCTTTCCACATAAATTTTAAATTTGAATTTCAAAAAATTCTACTTTTCATAGTTTAAGTTTGGAAATTTCACAAAAATATCGAAATTATCAGTGATGGAATATCTTTGTGATCAAAATGTACGACGATACTTTCTCATTAAGCTACGAGAATTTGGTAGCAGTAAAGGTTTGAGTGGTATTGAACAAATTAGAAATATACATTTGTTGGAGGATGAATTCACAATTGAAGCTGGATTACTAACACCAACCTTAAAGATTATTCGAGTAAAATTGAAAGATAAATTTAAGGATATTTTAGATGAAATGTATCGTGAAGAATTGAATTTAAATTCAACGTTCAATTAAAATTTTAGTATTTGATCTGAGAGAGAGAAAGAGGAAAAAAAAAAGGAGTTATTTAAAATTCAACAATTTTTAAATTTGAAATCGAATATGTGCAGAATTTTTGGCTGAAAATATCTTGTTAAATTTAACTTAGTGATACATTCATATGTATTCGCATGATAATTATCATAAAATAATGCAAATTATGAATTTTATCAACACTATAAAATATTTAGCAAATTGCAATTTGTAAGATAACCAAATTAAGATAATTTTTTAAAGTGATAATTTTAAAGCGAGAGATGAAACATCAAGAAATAAAGCTTGCCATTGATAAGTTGATAGTTAAACGCAATAAATATTATATCATTTTCTTTTTTTTTTTTTTTTTTTTTTCATCTCAACAAATTGAAGTGAGTGGTTCAATCAGTTTTTTGAACAAACATCAAAATAATAAATAATTTTTTTTTTTTTATCAAAACAATTTCAATAAACATTATGCATCAATTTGAATAACTGTTAATAAAATTAGCAACAATTATTGCATAAGAGTGGATAAGGACAATTAAGTTGGAGAAATTAAATAAGTGCTTATCAATTAACACCGATTAACAATGATAACCGCTACTGATTATCAGCGATAATTATTTGGGCGAATCAAATTATTACCTAATGGATAAATAGCAGTGACTAATTTGAGTGATATTTCGGAAAAGTCTTATAAAACAGTAAAAATACATTAATATGCCATTTGACATATGTAAAGAGTAACGTAAGTATTAAACTTTATTGAAGTCAACGTATTAACGTAGATTTTGACGTATATTGACGTAGTATTACGCAAGTATTAACGATTATTGGCGTTCACACTCCTTATTAAACTATCAGTGTAAATGATTTATTCAGAAAAAAATGCACCATTTTGCACAATATAAACATTAAGCTTATTATGAAAATATTTAAAAAATCAAGTAAAGAGAAGAAAAAAAATTGAGCAATATGTTATACAATAACAGTGATAATTAAAAATATTACGATATAAAGATTTTTTAAAAAAAAAGTACTACGATATTACAAGAATTTAAAAATATCAAAAAAAAAAGATATGACAGTTGACAATGATAAGACTCGATGCACCTTATCATAAAGTTCAAAGAATTGAAAAAATAATGATTGCTTAACTTAACAAACGAATCTACCAGCGCTTGCTGCAAACCTATGGCTAGAAAAGGTTAACATAAATTTTATTACAAAAGAGGACAGAACAGGAAGTCATCTTGGATGCAAGGTAGTAGTATATAATTCTTAAATACATTTTTTTTCTCCTCGAAATAGCTTTCAGCTTTTTACATACATTCTAGGATAATAACTAAATTTTATCTTATAATACCTAACAAAATTTCGAGAAAAAAAAAGGATTATACTTTTCACTGGTAAATTCTAAATTTATCACATCTATTACACTTATACTAAAGAAATAATATATACTTATTATATTAAAAATAAAACTAAATAATTTAATATTTAACGAAAAAAAAAAAGAAAAAAGACGAAACCATTTGCGTGTATCCCAAACTGAAATATTGTTTCAACGAATTTTGTCGTTATTGGTCTTCTTTGAAGTATTTCTATTGCAACAGATGGTGACAGATTCAGTCTTAGGAGAACGATGAACTTTTATCCTGAAAAGTATAAAATAGCATTGATCATTTAGAAAGCGATGCGGAAGCATTCCGGAAATTGAAGATTAGTGGCAAAGATAAACTATAATTTAGATTCGTATAAAATAGCGGATAGTATAAAGGTTTTTATAAATACTAATCTGTTCCATATTTTTTAAAATGAAATTTGCTGATTTTAACATCAGATGAAATGATGTTTCTTAGTTTAAAAAACTATTATTAAATGACATAAGCTTGGATGTGTTAAAACATTGTTTTCAAAATTTTGTCAAATTCTCTGCGATCATCAAAATTTGAATCTTTTATGCTAAATTGATCCATCACTACTACCTGTCCTTAATTTTCATAGTTTTTGTTAAATTTTAAACTGCATGCAAGATAAAAAATTATTTTTCTTACAAGAATAAGATAGCTGAGTGAATGAATAGTTTCTTTCTTTGGTAACAATAACAGTTCCTAAATCTTTAGATAGTTTTTTTTTTTTTTTTTTTGAACTTTACAACTGAAATTCATCTATCAGAATGAGTAAGTGATAAATATGACAGCAGCAAAAATTTCAAGTTATAAGTTTATTTGACATATTCTTCTATAAGGCAGACGATTTTACAATGTTAATAAAAATTTACAAAGTTAATTTTTGAATTTGAAATCAGAATTGTCCTTTTGCTAGAATAAACAATCAAAAGCTAATGGATTCATCCTAACATAGATGCATTTTCAATTTAATTCAAATCCGTCTAACATTGGAAACTCTCAAAACATACATACAACCACCGCCAACAGTAGCAATTGAAGATTAAACTGTAGCAAATGCTTTAAGAAGACAAAATTGCTCGGTGGGTTTAGTTGCGAGTTGCGGTAGATATTAAAAATGAAAATATATTTAATAGAAATGAAGTAATGTGAGCCTTTACGTATATTTAAATTATTTATGTGTTAGCATAGCGTCAAGAAATTATGTATTAAATTACGTTAGCATTAGCTTTTAAGTATATTTAAATTATTTGTGTTAGCATAGATCAAGAAATAAATTATATGTTAAATTAGATTAACATTAACTCACATTATTATTAATAAATTTGGTTGTATTATTGCAAATAGCATATGTGTCAAAGTGTATTCTCAGTAATATCTATATTAGCGATTATGTTTAATAATTTCAAATTATCAAATTTCTTATAATCTTACATATTATTTCTTCCAGGACATTACGATATAGCATTTCATTGAAAATGTGGCAAGTTTTTATCGGTTTGTTTACTCGTTTATATTCTTTACATATTTCTGGAAATTTAGATTCTAACAAGAATTAAACATTATCTTGATAACATATTAAATATTGATAAGTAACGCTTTCATCCAAAGTTTACTTTTACTTTTCAATTTCACTTTACTTCCATAATTTACATTCATTTAACTTTTCCTTTATATAAATAGCTTTGTTTTAGTAAAGAAATTTGATCGTTGTTACGCTGAAATGAAAAGTTGAACTTAACATTCAATATTTCTAAGACGTAATATGATAATTTAGTGGTGAAACGTATATACATCATTTAAAGTTATGTTTTGTGAAGTATAATAGAGATATGATCGAAATTAAGTTTGTGATTGATTACAAAAATTAATAGAAGTGATGCATCATTTATTATCAATACATCTTTATTCTTAATAATGATTAGAACTGTAGGGATGATTCATTGATTCTTTTATTTACTTATTCTAATTGCATTATTTTAGCCAGATATTCAAAAATACTTGTTATGCCATTTGTGGTGGTAATTGGTGCAGTTGGTTATTTTATGGAACAAAAATTTTCCACTCCAAAGAAAATTCCATACTTGGATGCATCAGTAAACGAAGGACGTGAAAAGCGACAAATGGAAATTGAATTAGATTCAGAGTATGGTACTCCAATGGATATTACAAAAATTAAGAGTAAGATAGTTCCCGAATCAAGTTTATTGTTGAATACTGGTCGAAAAGGTTTGATTGACAATGAAAGCCGTTGTTAGGCATTTCACTGTAACAGTAGTAGTATTAGTAGTGACGGGTATTTTAAATTATGTTGCTCATTATTTTTTGTTTTGTTTTCAGTAAAAGTATTTTTGTTTTCGATAAAGGTATTTTTGTGTTCAATAAAGGTATTTCTGTTTTCGATAAAGTGTTTTTATTCTTAAAAGTAGGATCTGTCATTTATTCTTATCCGTCTTTCTAGTTAACTACTCTTTCTAGTTTCTGAATACCAAATAATCATTGGATTGAATTAAGTGTTAAATTTTTGAGACGATTTTTTCTGTTTGTCTCTTTAATTTTCCATTCTAATTTATATGCTTACACATGTTGTATTTGTAGTGTTGCCAAAGAAATTATGTTTTTATTTGAGATACAAAGAGCATTGTCAGTGGCATATGCACTTAGAATTTGATTTAAATTCATTCATTGTTTTTATTTGTTTATTGTGAAATATTTATATTTATTGCATGTTTAAGAAAATAAAAGTTTATTAAACAGTATCATCCATTGTAACCGTTTTTTTTCCGGGGGACAATTTACTGCAATTTTGAGATATTTTTCAGTCAGCTCAATATGAAATCAGAAATGAAAATTATCTAAATAAATAAAGCTTACTTTCAGAAGCTCTTACCAAATTAAGTTGAATTGATTTTCGAAGTAATGGGTTGGAGATTTGTTTATTCCTTAAATTTCACGAAATCTTATTTACATTTGAATGATTTAGCATTCAGTACCGTTATTCAAAAAATAGGATTTGCATCTTATATCCCAAGGTTGGTATATTTTTTTTATTACATAATGATAAATCTTTTAAGAGAGATTTTAAATAGAGGTTTTGTTTAAAATTTCACTAATTATTGTTTTTGTACATTAACTCTAGTGCATCCATTTTTTTCCCTCTCTCTACCTCTGTTTTTCATGAAACGAAATCACTACGACGTGTTGGATATTCCATATGATGCAACAGATGAGGAAATAAAGAATGCTTTTGTTAAAAAATCTCAACAAGTAAGTTTTGTGTTTTCTTTTTCCATTTTGCAAGCAATAACGAAAAATGATTTATAGAAACTCTATAAACATCCATCATTTTTTTTCCTTAATTCTAGAAGAGTTAATTTTATCACAGAGTATTTCTTCTTGTTATATATGATATGAAATTTGTTAGATTAAATCTTAAAATATATGGGAATAGGATATATATGAAAGATATTTTTCAATTTTGCAGTAACATTTCTGTTTTTTTTTTTTCAAATAAACTTTTACGAAAAGAAAAATTTTGCACAAAATTTGTTCAGTTTTTTTCTTATAGCAGTTACTATTGTTCAATTGATTACGTTGTATGCGAGCCATAATATCAACCAAATGATTGATTATTTGATTGTTTCAATTCAATCATTTAATTACTGCTATGTTCTACAAACTATATGTTTAATTAAATAAACAATGTTTGAAAAAATTTGCTCAAAAATTTCGAAGTTTTTTTTAAATAAAAAAATTACCTTATACAGAAAATAAGAATTATTTCATTGTTATTAGCTGCATCCAGATGGCAAAGATTTCAATCCAGAAATGATACGATCAGTAGATAAATATGCGCCAGATGTTACCGAACAGTTCATGCAATTGAAAACTGCTTATGACATTTTGCGACGTTCAGCACGAAGGAAACAATATGATCAAATGATGGGAATTGAACGTTTGAAGCGTTTCAATAAAGTAAAAATCATTTTCATAATACAAATTAACATTTTAGTATTAACAAAAATAACTAAATTTTAATATTAACTAAACTAGCTGACATTATAAGTAAAATAATTAGCTAAAAATTGGGAATGTCAAAGAGAAGAAGTTGGTTTAATTTAAACTATTTTTGTGTAAGTAAGTAATATAGATATAGTTTTTTTTTTCTTTTTTTTTTTTGTTTTTCAGCGGCCGGAAAAATTAAATCTTTATGAAGTTGAGACAAAAAGGAACAATTTCATGACAAATTTTGGTATGTCAGCTCGAGAATTCATCAGCAGTGATTTTTATGTACGATTAGCAAATAATTCGGATAATTCGTTATTATATTTCACTATTGGCGGCGTAATAGTCATTTTGATACTACAAAGATTGTACATCTGGTACTCTTTTCTTGGTTTTAATGTATTTTAATATAAAAGAAAAAGATATTGGAAGAAAAAGTATAAATTTTTGAATAGAATTTATCAATTACATTCGATAATTTTCTTAATATTTATTTATATTAGCTAAAGTTGTTTTTTTTTTTTCTTAGTATTTTGGTTATCATAAGAAACATGTCGATTTCTCGTAGGTTAATTAGAGGTTATTAGTATTTCTAATTAACTATGACTTTTGGACAAAATTATTCTACATTTTCTTTTTATAGGTATCTAGAATCTACCTACAACGAGAAATCTGATACGAATGTGTAATGTGAAAATACAAAAGAAAGCATTCAAGTATTGAATTTCTCAACTTATGGAGATACAAGTGATGATCGGGTAAAATTTTTCAAAATTCATCTCTATTTGTTTAGACTAATGTAATTATTAAAGTGGACTCGAATCTTGAAACAGGGAATTTGCAAGATGTATTTTTTAATGTATATTTTTGAATTTTTACGAAAAGGGTAAATAAATTGTAAGATTTATTTCATTATATATTTATTTATGAAGTTTCAAACAAAAGATAACAAATATGAAAGAAATGGTCATAGATTTCGAGATTTGTTATAAATGAGCGTATTAGAAATTGATGATCAAAAAATGTATAACGAATTAAATTTTTGTAAGAACAGATAGTATTAGCAGTTTTCTGACTGAAAATTGAGATGGATAATCTATCTTTTCTTAATGATTAAAAAAATCTTCTTAAATGTTTCATCAGTAAAAAAAAAAGAGGGAAATAAGAATAAAAAGAAAGATCTGATAATAGCATTTTTATGTATCATCAAAGGTCCAAGAAGAAAAAAAAAATTTATTTTGCGTTCTTTATACTTTGAAAAAAGCGATAAGCAAAGTGCTTAAAATGTATGAGAAAAGGATCCATTTAAGTGAATAATTTCCTTTCCTTTTTCTTCTTTTATTTTCTGTTTTTCTATGCTTTTTTTTTTTCTTTTTTAAATATATTCAAGCAAATCATTAATCAATAACTATAGCTGTGTAAACTTATATTTAAATGTGCATTATGAATTGAATTAATTTCTTTGAAATTTATATCTGATAATAAATCTTAACATAGTTGATTAATTCAAACAAAATTAATTGAAAGAAAAATTGATCCTAATCTTAAGAATGTTTGTGTAAGCTTTGATTAAATTGTTTGACATTTAAGTTGATTCATTTCTTTTAATTCAATATTTGTATAGTTTTTTGTTTTTAATTTAAAAATTAATATTATTTTATAATATTCTTACCTATTTTTATTTGCTCATGCAATACTTAGTAATCTCCTTGATGTTGTAAGTATGAAAAGTTTAATTAATTTTATTCATATTTAATACCTCGTTGGGATTCCCAAGCTACATATAATTATTAATTGTTATTAGGTAAAGGGAAATTGCCAGGTTTTATAATCGTTGAAAGTTTCAATATCTTAATTTGATAGTCTTAATTAAGTAAAACTGGTATTGATAATATCCTAGAAAATATGGCTTGTGTTGATTTTATCGATAAGATAGATCTTTTAACAATTTTTTCAATTAATAATGCTAAGTTTCTCTTTTCAGTTACGAAAACAATGCAATTGGATTAGTTGATTAGTGGATAATAAAAGTAAAAATTTATTTGTCTTCCTTTAAATGTCTTTTTTTAAATAAAGTTATTAATTAAGAACTAATAATTTAGTAATAATTAACTGTTGAATCGTTGTTCAAATATTTTACATATCGAAATTTTAAAAAATGCAGCAGTAAAAGAAAGAAAAGGAAAGCTATCGAAAAATGCAATTTACACCATTTTCATATTGAAATTTTAAAGTTTATTTTTGAACTTATTAGTGTTCCGCTTTACTAACTTCTTTATTTGCTTTATTAGATTTGTTAAAATATTATTATTGTATAGCTTGTTTTTTTTTTTTTTTTCAGTTGAATAATGCATTGTTAGATATTTGAATATATTAATTTAAAAATTTTTTGATTTAAATTTTTATGGTAAATAAAGAGTAAACTGTTTTTCTTATCATTTTTATGTCACAATTGTAGTACTATTTGTTTACTTGTTAAATTTACCATGAGATAAATAGATTGAAATAATTGAAATATTATATATTTCTTTATTTTAATTTTTTTTCTTGTTTAATTGCTCAATAAACATATTATTATTTTCTAAAATTGAATATTTGGTTTACAAACCATAAATGGTATATATGTTGAAGTATTTTTGAAAACGAAAAATTTTTCTACTGTTTACATGAAATCTCTTTTTTTTTTTTATCGTATGTCAACAAATTTTATTTCATTCTTTGAAATTATTCGTTTTTTTTTTTTTTTTTTCTTAACGAAAATGGAAATTATTCCGTTACTTATTTTTTTTTTTTACTCAGAAATTTATATGTTCAAATTTAGATTTATTTTTTTTCAATTTTTTTCTCTTTATACTCAATTTATTTTTGTTCACTTACTTGTTTACCTATGGAATTCTCATTTCGCTTCATTTTTTTTTTTTTTTTTTTTTTTTTCACATTCTCCTATTTATTACTTATTTATTTGTTTGTTTCGATAATAATTTGAAAAAATCACTGCAATGAAAACAATTTATTGATTAAATTCATTAGATGAATTACATTCAAAATTTCAAAATTGAAAGAGAAATTATAGAATTTTTCATTTTCATACATTAATTTTGATCATTTATTTTGTTTTCTATTTCATTTGTTTTTTTTTTCTTTTTTTTTCGCTTTAATCGTCAAAGCAATGAGAAAATGAGAAATATTTATCTCATCTTGCTGAATATCCAAAGAAGAAAATTAAAATACAATTCCTACTATCATCTGTTTAAGAACCAAAATTAGAATTAAATTTTTTTATTTTTTCTCATAGTTAATCTTTATAAATTTCAAAAAAGCAAAATAACAATTAATTAATGTGCTACAAAGATTAATTATGCAATAAAATCTGATCAATCATAAAATAATTATAATTTATTGAAATTTTAGATAAAATTTTTACAACCTATTATTACAAATTTTTTTTTCCTAATTTTCATTCTTTATTTGTCAGTGTGTAATCGATATTCCTAATTTTATTTTTTTTTTTTACAATGATTTTATCAATTCTTTTTCCTTTCTTTTTTTTTTTGTATTTTTTATATTCTTCCTTGTCTTCCCCTCCCCTCTCTTTTTTTTTCTTTTTATAAAAATTTAATCTTATTTACTTCATTATTATATGAAATGTTTAATTACAGGTTAAAATTATTATTTAATTTATTTCTGCTAACAATTATATTAACTAACAAATTTAAGTAATTTTTCTACAAATGTGTATGCCACGTCTCGATGGTGTCATAAGACCATCAGTTCGACGACCATTGTATTATTCCTCATTTCATTTACTTTGTACACATCAAAATATTTCTGGAAAAAATTATTACGATATTTTGGGAGTGAAACGTGATGCTTCAATTGCTGAAATTAAAAGTGCTTTTTACAAATTATCAAAAAAGGTTTGATTATTTTAATTTTATTACAAATTTTTTGTAAAATTTTTTGAATATAGAATAATAAATTAATATGAACATAACTACATATATTATTATTCTTTATTATTATTTATTAATTTGAGAATTATCTAACAATGCAATCTTAAAAACGAGATTTTTTTTGTTCGTTAAGCCATTGTAGATTAAAAAAATAAAAATGATGAAAAAATAAATATGTGGAATGAATCAGTCAATTTTCGTACAGTGTTTAATTTTACAGATAATTATGAATTAATCATTAAATTAATTAGGAGTAGTAATAATAAGTATAAAAACAAAATTGGGAAAAAATTAGCATGTTTTATAAAAATGAATAAAATATGAAGGCTTCCAGTTTACAAAACGCTTAAATTTTTTTTGACAGCCTATTATTATTCACTCCTTCAACTTTTTCTTATACTTAGAAATGATTTGCTTCTTAGTTAATTATTAAAAGCAAGGTAGTAGAATGCAAAATGAGCAAGATTTGATCAAGTATAATTATCTTAAAGTCAAGATAGAATTTGTTGTTGGATTTGATCAAGTATAATTATCACGGATTTATTCATAATTATGTTAAAATCACGACTTAAACGAAGTAATAACTGTTATCTTAATATTTCAGAAAGTTACTCAGTTATTTTCTTTATATCATTTGCCATTACAATAAAATATTTTGCTGTTAGTGAGAAAAAAAAAAAAAAAAAAGCAATTTTCTTGATAAATTAATTTGGTCAATTTTATTTTTATTTATTCGTTTTTATTTTTTTCAGTATCATCCGGATGCTTTAAGGAAAACAAAAGATGTTAGCATAGATGCAACAATTTATTTGGAAATTAAAGATGCATATGAAGTACTGAAAGATAAGAAAAAACGACAAAATTATGATTCAGAACTTACCAAAACATTTAGTACACATCGAACATATGGGAAGTACAGCGATGGCAGTGGTCAAAATTTTAAAAAATACGATTCATCAAATGTAGGATAGTTTCTAATCCTAATTTCTTTTTTTTTTTTTTAAATATGAGATTTTAAACTTTAGATTTGATGATATATTCCAGATTTAATAATATGGAATAATTTAATAAAAGTAAAATGGAATTAGAAAAAAAGAAAGTATAAAACGATACTATATGTTGAGAAAAGAAAATCTTATAATATGCAAATGTTATTATAGAAATTATATTTTTGTTATGAAAAAAGATTTGTTATGGAAATATTTTTGCTATAAATCTTAATTTATAATAATATCTCCTAATATAATATCATCGATGTATCTTAGATGATGGATGTATTTTATAAAAAAAAATGATAAAAACTGAATTTAAGAATTTAGTGAAAATGATATTAAGAAATCGTAAATAATTTTATGGATGTGTTAGTTTACTGAACAAATATTTATTATTACTTTTCTCTAAATTGAGCTACATTTTAATTTTTTTCAGTTTTATGCGAGAACACCGCAGTATGATAATGACAAATGGTACGAATGGTATCGTAATCAGTATATGGATCAAATGGAAACACGTTGGATTCGAAAGTAATCTTTTTTTTTTTTTAACTTAAATATGTAATAACTTAAATAGGCTCTAGCAATTTCCTCACTTATTAAAAATGCCCCAAAGAAAATCAAATTCACTAATGATCTGAAGAATAAATATCAAAAGATTGATAGTAGATTCATTTTCAATAAATAATTATTAATTATTATTATTTATATGTTTATACTTATTTAAGCTATATTTTATTCCATATTTTATATCTGAGATGAATACTATTAGTAAAATTAAAAGTAATTTGGAAAAAAAAAATTTACGAATAATCTGCTGTAAAAATAAATGAGCTAAAACATTTTCAATTATTTGACAATGAGTTTAAAAAATTTCAGAAATACTGAAAACTATTGGATGAAAGCGATGTTGGCTTTTTTCGTGATATCTTTTATATTTTCGATGGTTATACGTATGCGAACTGAGCAGTAAATCCTTTCTGAATTTTCGATATCTTATATCATCACATCGGATTGAGACGATAGTTTTTCATTTTTCGAAAAAAGAGAGACAATTTTTGGAAGACTGTAACATTTTTACTAAATTCAGGTTGTACAAGATGATGTCTCATTTTTTTTCTTTGCAACTTTCTTACTTTAGAATCATTCTATGATTTATTTTACTGCGATTCAGGTGTTACATTTCAAATTTTTAGAAAAATTATTAAAATTCCAGACTTCGACGAAAAGAATGGATTGAATTTATGGTGCGAAAAAATAAAATATACGAAATGGAAATTAATGATTTAAAGCGACATCCAGAAGCAGTACTAAAATTCGAGAAAGAGAACGATATGACTGCAATGGAAGGAAAAGAAGAATTGTAAGATCGTAGAAATAGAAACTGATAAATTGATTGATCAGTCATTAGAATAATTTCATGTTCTGATTATTATTAGTCATATAAATCGTGTAAATATATGATTATATTTACTATTTTGTGCTGTGTGTTTTATCTGATCTAAGTTTAGAAATAATCTTATCGATTTGAAAAATGATCGCTTTACTTTCATTTTATTGAAATGTGTTAGATCATCGAATCATATAGACTATTCTTTCAGTTTCCTAAAAGTTCATTTATTGTTGATCAAAAAATCAAATTATAAGATCAAATACTCAAAAGCAAATTTCATCAAATTGTTTATTTCTCTACCATTCTAAATATTCCTTTTTTTTTTTTTATTATAATACGATGGTATTAGTTTAATTAACGAGATATTATTAGTGTGCTTTTCATGAAATTTGTCGAAAAAGTTACTAATAATCTAAGTAAATAAGTTTAACTAACTTGAATCTGTTTATTGATATTTTAGTCACTGTAGTTCAGTAATTGAATTAAATTTGTTTTAATATGTTGATGGTAAGTCAAATAGATTTAGCAAAAATATTATGATAATGTCGAAAGTTTAACTCAATTTTATAAGTGTAATTTATAATTTCTACATTATTCTATTTTCCAAATTTCAATAGTTCTTAAAAAAAAATAAATTAATGCTTCAAGTTATGGAAAGTTTTTGTGGAAATTATTTATATGAATAATGTCAGTTATTTTAAGATGAAGCAAATGAAACAATCAAAAATTAAATGACTTTCAAAAATATATCAAATGGAACAGAAATCTTCTCTAATTTTAAAATTTTATTAATTAGGACTTTTCGTCTGTTTCTTTCTTTCTTTTTTTCCTTGTAACATCAAACAATTCTATTATTTTTCTTATTTACATTTCATTTATTAATCCATTGTTTTGTAATATTTATAGCTATATAGGTATTTTATTTGCCTTTTTTATTATAGTGATAATTTTTTTTATTAATTTGATGTATTTTCGGGTTAATTTTATTTAATCTACCTTTTTCATAGAATTTATTTTATATGCATTCTACCTTATCTTACTATTGATTAATTAATTCTAAATTATGTTTGTGTTATTAAATCACAACAAACATATATTTTGTGTTTTACTACATCATATTTTGTTATAATTTCAGTTTCAAAATGATAAAATTTTACAAATGCTTTATTCTTTTCATTACTCATTCAATGATTTAAAAAATTCACTTTTATAATCTCTCTACATTCTCTTTTTTTTCTTTACTTTTAATTATTTCTGCTGAGTGTATTTAAATATTCCATACAAATTCTAATGTTTCATGTTCATATTTCAATTGAAATTCATTTTGCGAGTTTTAAAATAGTTTGATTTGAAAGCATGGCAAAAATTAGCGAAGTCTAACTTTACTTTTGCATATTTCTAATGAAAGTATCGTTTTAATTGTCATACTGTAATAAATTAATTAGGCTTATGAATAATTATAAAGTTAATTCTGCTTTTTTTTTTTATTTTTGAAAAGATTTATAATCATAATTTATATGTATTTCAGGATTTTGAAATGTCTAATAATGGATAACGTTTGATTTCTTGTTTTTGTTTTCTTAAATTTCATATAAATATCAAAAAGAAAGAAAAAGGAGAATTAGAATAATAAATTAATGAACTGATGGGATGAATTCACAATGTTTTTTGGTTATCGATTAATCCTAGTGAAACGAATCTTTTATTCATCTAATCGATTCATACGACAAGCAATTGATTATCAAAAAAATTATTATGATATTTTGGGAATTAGCCATAATGCAACACAACAAGAAATCAAGAATGCCTTCTATATGTTATCCAAAAAAGTTAGAAATAATTGCAATTAATTTGAAATAAATTATCTATATTTTAAAATAAATTGAGACAAAATTTTTATGATAATTAATTAAATCAACAATTTCAAATTTAGTATTATAATATTAATGTATGAGTAATATTAGTTAACAAATATGAGTTAAAAAGAAAAATTATTAAAATAATTCTTATTTTATAATTATTTCTTAATTTTTACATATAACTTAATCCTTATTTATTTTTAAAAATAATTCTTATTTATAACCTATTTTTTTACAATCATTTCCTTTAATGCTATGATCTGATCATTAACAGATTACTATAATTTACGAATTATACTTGATAATTTCATTCCTATATGGTAAGTTCTATAAATTGTGGAGATTAAAATAAATTTTCATGTAAAAAAAAGTAATTATTTCTATTTTCAGTATCATCCAGATATCACTGGGAGTACTGCTGAGAGTACCCTTACAAAACGATTTATTGCAATTAAAGAAGCATATGATGTGTTGAAAGATGTGAGTAGCCGGAATGAATATGATGCGTATCGAGCACAAACAAGTTCCAATTACGGTAAACAAACATATAATAGACAAAATACTGGATATACTGCTACCTGGAGAAGTAATCGTTATGCAGGTAGCAATCAGTATCGTAATAATTGGCGATTTGATGATGCTCACTTGAAAAAGGTTAAAATTTCATTTTAGCATTTTGAATTTAGATATCATTATTATAATTGTTGATATTACTACAATAATATCAAAAGTATCGCAGATATCATTTTTGTTAAGAGAAAGAGGAAGGAAAAAAATTAAAAGAAAAAGACGACTACTAGGATTTTTAAAAAAGATTAAAAGAAGATTTTTAGATGATATAAATTGGTTAGTTATTTTCAGTGTATATTCTGGTAACGGCGAATAATTTTTCTCTTATTTTCCTAGACTTTTAATTTAGGTTTTTTTTTTTTTTTTTTACCTCTTTTTTTTTAGGTTTTTGAGGAGTTACAACGTCGTGCGGAAGAATATGAAAAAGCTCAAAAAGAGCGCGATGACCGGTTCTGGGAAAGATTTTATCAGGCTGAACGAGAACAATATAAGCGGCGTCAAGAAATGCCACCGAGACCTAGTGTTAAACTTGCAATTGACAGGTGTCATTACTTATAATTTTACCTATATGATACAATCACTGACCTATTGTGGACAATAACAGATTCTCTCCAATGTATGAATGAAAAAAAAAATTTTTTTTTGGACTCGATATATTGTGAAGTTTTCTGAGGACAAATGCATGCTTGACAAATTATCATATCAAACGAGTAGTTTTGAAAGTTTTGATAATGCTTTGAAGAATTTCTAAAACGAATAAACGTTTTCCTTACTTTATGTCCCAATTAAAATTCTTCTTTTAGTTGGCTCAATGGATCATTACTTCCATATTTACCTTATTTAAGTGCTATTCTAATTGTTTATATGATTGGATTCTTCGTTCTTTCACTACATAGTATTATTTCGGGCAGGTAAGCCGCTTTTTCTAATTTGATAAACTTGAATCTTTTAAATTTCGAACTTTTCATTGTAAAGAAACAAGATTTAGAACCTACAGTTATTATGTTTTTAAGGGAAGCAACCGATATTGTGAATGAGGACGACCATCCATAAGCAAAACTTAATGAAGAGAAAATTGAATACGATCAGTCGTACTAGTGTTTTGAGTAGGAAATAGTTTGCATCTTTCAAAAATTGTAAAATGCAAACTAAAAAAAAATTTATATAAATTTTGAATTTATTCTTAATATAATAAAACGCACAACGCTGTTACAGCCATATCATATTATATCAATAATAAGCACAGTTGTTGATAATTAGCTCATCTGTTTAGAAATTGTATTTTTTTTTTTCTCTTTGAGTTCCCGATCATAACAGCTTTCTTGATTGACTTCGTAATAAAATATTTTACTCTTTTGATATTTGGTCGCAACATATTATTTCAGATGTTTGATTGTATTTCTGGAAGAAAAAAAAAAGACATTCAAAGAAAAGTCAATTTGTACTTTTTAAAATCCAAACATTCTGTTTATGTTATGTGTTTTCATTTCGTTTTCACTATAACATTGTTGTAAACCAATAAATTCTAGTTCTGAAAACTTCAAATTAAGCACTTAGTTAGGAATATAATCAATTATTTTGTCTCAAAATTAGTCTTATCGGCTACTTTTCAATGACATGGGATTTCTTTTCAAATTGTAAATTTGAAACGAATTTAATTTCTTAAATTATTTGGGTAATAATATAAGAATCTTTAGAAATATCAAGGGACAGAGTCTCTTAAGTGAGTTCATATCTCATTTAACAGTAATTACAGTTACACTATTCGTCATTTAATCATTAAAAGAACATTTCAAAAAAAAAAAAGTCAACCGTTTTAATTTAATCAGCAAAAGTGAAACTACCTGATAACTGTCATTTCGGTAATTAAAATTAAATTTTTTGAAAAATAAAACTACCATAGATAATACTTGAAGTAGCTATTTTGATAATTTGAGTTATGATATTTCACATAAGTGGTTACCACATACTTGATGTGACGTTTGACATGGCGTCCATCCTCCACGTCCGCATACTTTACGTAGAGTCTCGTAATGGGTAATTCGTAGATATGGGACTGCGTCATTCTACGTCCGTTCAGAGATGAATTTTTGTGCTACTTTATTTAGAAGTGAGTCTCATAACGATTGCAAATTAATTATGTATGGCGGGCTAGCTTCTGTTGCGGCAGGTGGGAGGGGCGGTCGTTGCGGTAAGGCGGAGCAGTTGCGGGAAGGTAACCGGAAGGGTTTGTTGGGATGGATGCGGAATAAAACTGTCAAGATTTTAGATAGGAACAGAGATGGGGTAGGAAAATTTTAGTGGATTTTTTGAAGTCTTCTATAAAAAGAAAAAGTATGAAGCAATTTTGCATTAAATGGGAGATTGGATGTAATTCCATTTTGTTTACTCCTTTTATTATATGTATTCCGTTGCCGAAATCAGTTATCAATTATGGCAATGTTAGATTTGATATTTTAATGAATATTTGATACTAATTTGATCATTAAGTTAGCATCAATTGATTTAATAATTGATTAGTTAGATGCTGTTTGTAGTTAGTGTTTGCTTTTATAATAATTATTTTGTATTAATTTAGGGTGTTTTTGATGTGGTTATCGATTAATATATGTCAACATTTTTGCAGGCTTAATATAATGACTTGGCAAAACGAGCAATTCTTGGAAGTTTTACAGTGTCCTGTGTTGGTTGTTGGCGTTGGTGGTATTGGTTGCGAATTGCTGAAAAATTTAGCCTTAACCGGCTTTTCTAACATCGAAATTGTAAACTTTTGCATTTCTCATATGTTAATCGATTACTCAGATTTTTGCACGTGAACATTATATTTTTTAATCAATCTTCTTGAATACTTCTGTATAATTATTATTGTCATTTTCAGATAGATTTGGATACAATTGATGTAAGTAATTTGAATCGACAATTCTTATTTCGTCGTGAGCATGTTGGTAAATCAAAGGCAATTATTGCTGCAGAAGCAATTCGATCAATTGCTCCTAACGTAGAAATTGTATGCTATCATGATTCGGTGTTAAAGTATGTTAATCATTTTTAAAGAGTATTCCTTAAATATAATTGAGTAGTCTAGATAATATCCTGTAATTTGGACGAATTTGTATTGTTTGCGAAGCGGAAATCCGTGTAATACTTTATTTCAGGGAAGAGTATGGTATGGAATTTTTCCAGAAATTCGCTGTGGTTCTTAGTGCGCTAGATAACATAGGTAAAATTAATGCTCTGCGAAGTTTCTAAAACATCTAAAATTTGCAAAATGCACTGGAAATAATTTTTTTCTGGACGAATACATGAAAACTCTCAAATTTCTAGAACTTCTAAAACTTCTAAAAATTTCCCTATTTTAGCTGCACGAAACCATATCAATCGACTTTGCTTAGCAGCTCGAGTACCGTTAATTGAAAGTGGTTCTTCCGGTTATTTAGGACATGTAAGCTTACCGCGTTTTTTCCGCATGGGAATTGTTTTTATTCGATAACTTAATAATTTGATGTACATTGTCATTAGGTTTTATGTACATTTGATTAAAGTTTAATTTTTTTTTTTTTTTTTTAATTTCAGGTGCGTCCAATAATTCGTGATTACACCGAATGTTATGAATGTAATCCAAAAACAATACAAAAAACATATCCTGGATGTACGATTCGTAACACACCATCGGAGCACATTCACTGCACTGTTTGGGCAAAACATCTTTTTAAGTGCATACTTTTTTGTTTTTTAGCAGTTCTTAGTTATGTGGGAATTGTTTAAAACGACTTTTAATCCCAACTTTGCATTATTAAACGTTACTATTCAGTAATGAAGCGCATATGATTTAAAAAAAATGGCCCTAAATGAAATGGTAGCAAAATAATGCAGCATATTAACTTTATTTCCAGTCAACTTTTTGGTGAACCAGATGACGAAAATGAAGTGTCTCCGGATTTAACAGATGATGAGAATTTGCATAGCCCAATTATAAACAGTGATGAAGAAAACGGGAATTCAGCTCTTAGTACAGAGCAAAAAGATGACGGTAACTCATCTATGCATGGCGATAATGGCGGGCTATTGAACAGAATCAATACACGGAAATGGGCAGCTGAAAACGGTTACGACCCAAAAATTCTTTTCAGAAAGGTTCGTTTTCCAATAAATTTTCTTGTGAGTTTATGTGTATGTTAGTGTAGTAAATTTTATATAAAATGGGACTTATTTGGTATTCAAACAAGAAATATGTAAATTTATTTCCGTCTCTTTGTAGTAATTACGAAGCTTCTAAAATCGGAAAAGTTTTCATTATGTATATTTCTTTTAAAGTCACATTTCAGTTCTTTCACAATGACATCAATTATCTTTTGAGTATGAAGAATTTGTGGAAGCAAAGAAGGAAGCCATTTCCATTGGACTGGGATAATCTTCCGAATGAAAGTGAGTTTAATAGTAATACAAGCATCTTGCACCATTTCAAGATAATTTGTTATTCATGGTAATTCCAAAACGCATAATCTTCAATGAATTTGAAGGAAGAAAAATCCAGAAAATTGAATATAGTTAAAAGGAAACTGGAAAAGATTACTGAGAAGTGTCATAGACTACTATTTAATGATTTAGAAATGTTATAATAGATGTATATTTAGATGCAAGTTCAAGCAACAGCGAGCCAAATGCGGAACTTTGGACAGTTTTGCAGTGTAGGGACGAATTTGAAAGAGCCTTGTCTGCATTGAGTGAACGTGTTAAAGATGGATCAGTGCTATCGTGGGATAAGGTTTCCTTCATTTTTCCTTTCATTAAATTTTAGTGTAATGTATAGATTTTTTTTTGCATTAATAAGCCAATTTTGTTTTGTTACTTGTCTTATTCCAGATTAGTTCTAGTTGTTTTAAAAAAGTGGAAAATTAGGGTTAAAATTTGATTTACAATTATCTTCTCTTCAGGATGATGAACCAGCAATGCGTTTTGTAGCAGCATGTGCTAATCTTCGTGCTCATGTCTTTAGCATCCCTCTCAAAACACTTTTTGATATAAAATGTGAGTTTATTAGAATAATTTTAGCAATACTTTGATTTTGAATTTCTAGATAAACCTTTTTAATTTATTTGCTAGCTTATTGATTCATTGAGCTAAGAAGTAGTGAGTATCTCTGCATTTAGTCCAAAAAAAAAATTGGGTACTTGCTTGCCTATTTTGAAAAGGAAATTTTTTTCTCAGAATTAAATAATTTTATTTTGCAGCGATGGCGGGCAATATTATACCAGCTATTGCTACTACAAATGCTATAGTGGCCGGATTGATTGTTGCTGAAGCACTGAAAGTTGTTTTCGGTGCAAAGGACAAATTACGAAATGCTAGTTTTCATCTACTATAACTTTCTTTGATTTTTTGCTGCATTTTGACATATCATTTTATTAATTTATTTATCCATTTTGAAATTTGCTTATTGCTACATCATTTAATAGTTTTGCTGTGGAAGCATATTCTGTACAAGCAAAAAATTGGAGCATTTGAAAATAATAAATTACCAATGTCAAGATTTGCATTTGTGAAACTAGGGCTTTTATCTGACCTTAATAAGAATTTTTTTAGGTTTTCATAAAACCGAAACCAAATCCACGTGGGAAAATTTTAATTGAGGAAATGCCCAGTAAGCCTAATCAACAATGTTACGTTTGTTCTGAACGACGAGAAATAACGTTAAGACTAAATATTAAGCTGACAACTGTTTTTTCATTGGAAAACAAGTTTCTAAAGGGAATTTTGCATATGGTCGCACCTGATGTTATGATTCCTCTAACTGGGAATATCATTATTTCGAGTGAAGCGGGTGAAACCACAGGTAAGCAAAGCAAGTTTCTAAAGGAAATTTTGTATAATAGCAGCTTTTTTTTTTCAATCACTATCAAGAATCTGGAGTAATTCTGCAGCAGTATTGACACCTTTTTTAAAAATTATCTATTCGCAGATAAAAGTTAACATTTGCGTAAAGTTCCCATGAGATATCTCTTATCTGAAGAAATACTTGTGCTTATCAGTTGTCACTAAAGGCTTTTCGCCTTTTCACCTTAATCAAGTTCTGCTGTTAGAATGGTAGCCGCAACGATTTGTTTGAAAGCCTAGTTGCTTTGCATAAAGAATGTTTTCCTTTTCAAACTATTTTTTTTAGCTATTAGTGAGCGCATTTTGGAAAAAGTGGGTGTCATTCATGGTTGCATCTTGGAGTGCGATGATTTTTTGCAAAGACTGGAACTTCGGATTCGTATTGAACATGCCAATGAACTGAAGGCCGATGAGTTTGTGATAGCTATGGATACTGGTGATGCTACAACAAACGGTTAGTTTGATTTGCATTTTGTTTAAATCTAGATGAAAGTTTATACTCATCATCTTTCATAACTTTCCAATAATTTGTTAATAAATATATGATTGATTTGATTTGCAGTTGTTTACTGCAGTGAAAGAGATGCGGAAATGTATGTGTCGGTGTTTCTTTTTTTTTTTTTTTTTTGTAAATGTATTTATTTTTATAGGACGAAAAGATGGAAATGACGAAAACAGGATGAAACGGTCATTATCCGAAACAACTGATGAGTGTTCACCAGCTAAAATTCGAAAAACTGATGGTGAAATTGTTTCATAGTATTGAGTTATATTTCTGAAAACTTTTATTTGGTTTTGTTACTTACCTTAACTTTTTTGTTTTTTGGGATCATCTTGCCTTACATTTTGAAGCAAAATCTGCTTTTTGAACACCGATACACAAATAGTGATAGAAAAAAGTGTAAAACTCTCTTCGCTGTATTGCCGTTTACTCAGTGAAATTTTTTGATAAGCTGGAGAATCAGTGCATTCTTTTATTTTTGTTTTTATTCTTGTTCTTATTTTGTTTTTTTTTTTTTTTTTTAAAGTATATGTTGGAATATCTGTACGCAATAAACTATATGAATAAATTAGTTATGCATTTATACATTAAAGTTAAGGCTTCGGTAAGAATTATGGTCTCATAATAAGGAAAGAAAAGTAAATTTTCTGTTTATCCTTTTATCACCTTATTTTACACCTACATTTTTTTTTAATTTGGTTTATCATTCCTACAAATCTTAAAATTTTTTTCAAGTTTCAATAATCTTTCCTTTCCTGGATTACTTCCTGATTTTCAGATCTTAACTGCTGCAGATGCATTTATAACTACTCCAATACTAATGTAAAAAGAGTTTGTAATAACTATGAAATATGAAATCATTTCCGAATATTTCATAATGAATTAACTTTAGTATCTCTAAACAATTTTGCTTCTTTGCATTTTTACTCCAACAATTGTTTTTTATATGATATTTTAACTTATTAATGATCAGAAGAGTGCTGGAATGGATAAATAATCGAAATTATTTTTGCATTATCATTTCTCGCCATCATTATCACTGCTTTGCATATTATATACGTTATCAAAAAATATATTGGTTTTATAATTTCTAATCGCTTTGTTTTTGTATATTTTACAATTGTTTCAGAAAAAGCAGAGAAATATATACATGTGGAAGAAATTGAAACTAAAACTGTTATGCACTTATTAAATTGATAATAATTTGATCAAATTATATCATTAATAATTGTCAATTGCTCTGGTGACAAAAGAATCAAGAGCAGAGAGATCAAGTGTCACAGCACAACAACAACGATTAGTTGAATTAAAAGAAAAAATAGTGCGAAAAGAAAAAAGTCATAAATGAAAAGTCATAATTTATAGAGGAATAAATAATTTTCAGAGTAATTATTAGACTCTTTTTTTTGTTTTTTGAGAATTATAAAACAACAAATTACAAATATATCTCATTAAATGAAATATAAATTGGTTAACTTAATTAATTAAATAAAAGACAAATTGATAGAATTAACTAAATTTTATTTATTTATTGGAAAATTGTCTTTCTTTCAAATTCATTTTTTATTTCATTTTTGCTTTTCTCATTTGCATGTTACCAACTAATTTTATCAGATAAAATTGTATATTTGCAAAAAAAAAAAAAAATCATTTTTTCATTAAATTTTTGTTGGAAACCTTTTTTTTTTCTTCTATCTCTTTTGTTTCCAATTTTTTATCATTCATTTTTGCTAATTTTTCAAATTCTTTTTTTTTTTTTTTTCATTGATTTATGCAATATTTTTGTTAATTCGTTCATCAGATTCACATTAAATTTAATAGTTCCCTCTGTTTCATTAATTTTCTCTCTCCTTTTTTTATTTCATCAATTATTTTCTTATCATTTATCATTTGTGTCCTTTTCACCACCGTAGTGTTCGCTAACAGATTTTATCTTAACTTTAGCATTTACTCTTTTAGATTTATTTACTTCCTCTCTCTCTAAAATTTCAATTTCTTTTTAAATTTTTATAAGTTTTTTTCTTTTTTTTATAACAATTATCATTTTATATTATTTTTAATCTTCAAAATTTATTAATTTGTTTAATTTTACTAATTATGGTATAGGTTTGGAATTTAATTATTTTTTTGCGAGTTATCTAATTGAATTAATTGAGCAAATAATTGTTTATTTTCCATTGTATTTTTAAAAGTAAAGCAAAAAAAAAAATAAACAGAACTTGCGTTTTCCTAATTTTTATACAATTATGAATAATTTTAGTAAATAAAATGAATGAATTTATGAGCATAGTGATAATCAAATTTTGGCTAAATATATTTGTTGTAAATAATTTTATTTTAATTATATCAATTATAATTGATCCGATAATCTTATTATAATTATATAATCCGACTTAATCATAATTTCAATGATGCAAAATGAAAGGAAATTACTGTACTGTTTCAATATATTTTACTAATTAATTATTATTACTATTAATAAATGCTTCATCGAATATTATTTATAAATTTCTCCGTATATTGTACAAATTTATTTTTCTGAATAATTGAAATAAATTATCATTTTGCAAATTGAATTCTTATCTCGAAAAATTTATTCACATTACATAGCCATACATAAGCTATTATTACATAATAAATATAGAAATAATAAAAATTTTTAATAGCTTTTAATTTCATTTTAACTTACCAATCAGTGTTAAAAGTTATAAAATGCTCCATCAAATATTTCTCATTATTTTTAGAACACAATTTTTATTTTATATAATCATTATAAATTTAATTCATTTAACAGTTCAATTTAAGTGTCGATCAAATATTCATGTAAATATTATATATTTCGTTATCAATTACTGGTTATGATTATTGATTATGATCATCAGTTACTGATTATGACTATTGATTATGATTATCACTTGTTGATTATGATTATCGGTTATTGATTGAGATTATTGATTATGATCATTAGTTACTGATCATTGATTATGATTATCAGTACTAATATAGTTATACAATTAACAATATCCATTCAAAGAAGCAATTAATTTAAAATATTACTTTAGTAGTTTTTTATGTTTTAATACAATTACTCTGCGACTTATTAGCATAATAGCAATATGAATATGAATGATAGCAAATTTCATAAAACAAGCTAAAAAATAATTTAAAATTGTTTAATAAATTTGAATTTAAATTTTAGCAAAGCAAAATAGGTCATTCTAGGACGATATTTAATTGTATCTAATTAATTTGTAAAATTATTCAAAAAAAAAAATGAATATTGCATTTCATGCATATTTCTTTCTTTAAAAGCCCTTCTTGATACTAAAATGAAAATTTTGAAATGCTATTAATTTCTTTTTTTTTTTTTTTTTATTGATAAAATTGCTTTTTATAAGTTCACAGCTAAATTAAAATTTGTAAATAAAATCGAATTAACATATGTAATAGTTACTGCTCCTAGAAATGCAAATATTCCAAAATAATTCAAATTTATTCATTAATTTTTTTTTCTCTAACTAATTCAAATTTATTTATCGAAATTCAAATTTAATTTAATATCTATGAAATTCAAAAACTAATTCAAATTTATTTACATTTTTTTTTCCCTTTTTCATTATTTATCCTAGTAAAACTGGACAAGTTAATTAATTTGTCTGTTTTATAATTGCTTGAAACACCTGCCCGCTCATTTCAATAGCATTTTTATTAACTGAAAGCTTTTCATTTTCTTTTTCTTTTTTTTTTTTTTTTTTTTTTTTTTAAAAAAAATTCAATTATATTTAAAAAATAAAAATTTCCTTTTTTTCCATCCAATCATTCTATTTGTTATTCATTTTCACTATTATCAAAATTTTTGCTGAGAAATTCAAATAAAAAAAAAAAAACGAAAGATTGAACTAAAATTATGAGAATTAAAAAGAAAAAAAAGTGAATAAATATTAAAAGCTGAGTGAAAAAAAGATTGGTTAGCAACCAAATTATTGCTATGAAATAAATAAATTAGGAAGAAAGAGAAGTAAAGTGAAAGAAAGTAAGTTAAATTTTAAGATTGAATAAAATTATAAAGTTAGTTTTCATTTTTTTTTTTTTTTAATAAAAAGTGCAAAATATATAAGGTGTAAAATATGATTAGAAAGAAAAGATTTATAATTAAATTTCCTAAAAAATTTTCCTTTCTAACAAAAAAATTTCTTCACAATTCAAAAACGAAAATATGTTTTCCTTTTTTTTTCTTTCAGACATATAAAATATCATTTAATAAATGCTAATAGCTTAATATTAATTATTATTACTTATTAATTAAATAATTATTAATTATTATTAGTAATCATTATTATCTGTTTTCATTGGAATAAATTAATGTTTCTTTTATTTTGTGCATATTTCTTTCAATGATTGTCTAATTTTGTTTTATTTTTGTTTTACATAGGAAATATTTTTATGTAAAGAATTGAATATTTAATATAACTCTTAATCAAAATGAAAAAGTAATAATTATAATTATAAATTAACCAATTCTATTTATATTAATTTGAATATTTTCTTTTGTTTTCCCTTTTTTTTTTTTTTTTTTAATTACAAAAATTAAATTTTTGCAACAATGAAATGTTAAATTTAATCTTTTAATATAAAATTTGAATTAATTTAGAGAAGAAAACAAGAATTATCCAATTAATTAATTAATTATTATAAATATACTTTTTCGTCATAACTTTTATTAATAATTAAATTTAAAAATTTTATAATTAAAAAATGGGTAATCGTGAATCATCAACAAAAGAAGAAGACGGTAAGCCAAAAGAAAATGATCAACCACGTTTGTATCGACACGTTGACATTCACGGTGGCGGTGATTTGATATCATTTATGTGGTTAGCAAAGAATAGCAATGATTTTTCACAAATTAATGAATTAATTGATTCAAAGGTTTGATATATTTTTCATATATATAATTTCTTTTTTTTTTTTTTGATAGAATTTTGAAATTTAATTTTTAAACATATTTTATTAAAAATGAAATGAATGAAAGAATATTTTCAATTCAAAAGCATTTTAAATACAATAGCAAAAAAAAAAAAAAAAATTAAATTTGAAAAATTGTATTTTAAAAATCAATCAAATTATCAATTACAAATATGAGGAAGCATAATTCATTTTAATAAATTTAAATGATAAAATTATGTTATGATGACAAAAAAAAAGAAAAGAAAATCATTTCTGATATTAAATCATTTGGTAATTAAATAAATTTTAATCACATGCAAAAAGCTTTCACTAATTAAACAAATTTTCATTTCTTTACTAAAATTTTTGACAATTTTAATTGATATAAAATGTTTAAATTAATGGACTATTCAAAATTTTAAAAATTTTTGAATAAAAATTAATAAATTTTTTCAAACAAATAATCTTATAAGGAAATTAATTAATCAAATTTTTTAGATTAAAAATTTTATGTATAATTCGGGTAAAGGTAAAATGGTGGCTGTTTCTGAATTGGTCAAAATACGTAATAAAGAGCGTAATGCAATGCTAAGCGCATTAAAACGTAAAAAAGGAAAAGGTAAAAGTGGACCAAATATTTTAGATGATTTTAATCAAGAAGGTGAAAATCAAGGCGATTTAAAAAAAGGTTTTTTTTTTTTTAAAAAAATTTAATTTTATGCTAAGTAGTAAATATGTTTGTGTGTGTGAAAATTGCAATGAAATATTAATAAAAAGATAGAAAAATCACAAATGAAAAAAAATAAAAAATTAGAATATAGTAAATTTATATTACATATATATTAAGAAAAAAAAAAATTTATGCTAAATATATACAAATCAGATCTAAAAATTCGGTTATGAAAGAAAACAAACTGAAAAAATGAATTGGAAATGATAATTTTAAATTTCATAATCATATTTAGTAATAATTTATTTTGAATATTTATTATTATTATTATTATTATATTTTGAATGTATTATTAATGTATTATTACTATTATTATTATTGTTATTATTATTATTAATATTAATATTATTAATATTAATATTATTATTGTTATTAATATTATTATTATTATTATTATTATTCACTGACAGTTTAACCTATCGTTTTTATCTTATAGCATTAAAACTTCTGGAAGGTGGTGGACGACGTGGTGACATGGATTCAAAATATCGTGAAGTAGTTTGGAAATTAGATGAACGTGGTAATATGGGTGAGAATCTTGTTGGTTTATGTTTATTGCAAGGAACTGCAATACATAATCATTTGGCTCGTCATTTAATTAAATTATATCCAAAACTTGTCAATGATATTTTCATCAGTGAAAATTATTATGGTATGATATTGTATTGAATAAATTATTGTATAGCAATGATTATGATAAGATTGTTTAGTTTGATTAATTAAAGAAATATTTTTACAAATTACAATCATATCAACATCATAATTATCATAATCAATCATCATTATCATTATCATCATCATACATCATGATCATATCATCGTCATCAATCATCATCATCGTCATCAATCATCATCATCGTCAACCATCATTATCATCATCGTTATTATCATTATCATCATACATCATGATCACACAATCATCATCATCAACCATCATCATCATACATCATCATCAATCATCATCATTATCACCGTCATCATATAACAACAATATTTTAATCAAAAAATATTTTAATTAGAAGATACATAATGAAAAATAAAAACATACTGGAAATTATAAAGTTTCCAGAAGATGTAGGACGAGAAAATCAAGATAATTTAATTTAATAAATATTAAAGCAATAAATATTACAAAAATATTTGATATAGCAATAAAATATCATTTTCTACAAATATTTTTGTTAATTCATTTTTTTTTTTTTTGATTATTTATTAATAAATGAATGATTTCTAGGTTTATCACCATTACATCAAGCAATAATAAACGAAGACCCAGCAATGGTTAGTTTTTTGTTGCAACAAGGCGCAAATATCAATCAGCGCTGCTACGGTGCATCATTCTGTCCGGATGATCAGAAAAGTAGCCGAACTGATTCACTGGAACATGAATATGTGGAACTTAGCCTGAAAACATGTTATTCCGGGTTCGGTTTTATAATCATTTCACAAAAATATCAAGTTTTTCCCTTTCCCTCCCTACCTCTCTCTCTCTCTCTCTCTCTCTCTCTCTCTAACTAACTATCATATCATTATTAATAATTATTTGTAATTATATTGAAAAAAGGACAATAAATTGACAAAAAAAAATGAAACATAGAAAATAACAAAAAATCATCGTTCAAAATAAGTACAAAAAAAAAAAAAAAAAATAAATAAATAAATAAATAATTAAAGAAAAAAAAATTAACAACCTTAAACACAAAATAAACAAATATCATATCATATCATACCATATCATATCATATCATTATCAAAAATTATTGTATTTACAAATGCTACAAATCATTGTTCAATGTTTGTTAATATTTTATTTTCATTGCAATTCTTTTAATTAAATTTTTTACACAAATTTAAAATTTACCAAAGGATATAATTGCTGAATGACTTAAAAACGAATGAATTATTATTGCTTTTTTCTTGAATTCAATTACTATATTAAATTAAAAGTTATAAAATTTGGCATTAAAAAAATATTTTTTTTTGCTAAAAGGAAAAAAAAAAACAAATTAAAATGTTTATATTAATTAAAATAAAAAATATTTTACATATTAAGACGAATGTATTTTGGTGAATATCCATTATCATTTGCTGCTTGCATTAATCAGGTGGATTGTTTCCGATTATTAGTAGCAAAAAAAGCTGACCTGAATCAAAAGGATACAAACGGAAATACGGTTTTACATCTTGCTGTAATTCATGAACAACCAGTAAATTAATTTTGATTAATTTTATGTAAAAAAAAAATTATGATTGAAATTTGATCAATTATTACAAAAATTATTATAAATTTACATATATGTTTTTTCTACAAAAATCATTTTTTTTTTCTTGAATTTTTCAAAATTTCAAATTTTTGGTTAAAAATTTTAATTTATAAAATTTTTGCATTTTTTCTTTTCAATCATTGCTTTTTATTTTTGTTATCAGGAAATGATTAAATTATCATATGATATGGGTGCTAAATTACAAATAGTAAATAAGCAAAATCTAACACCGCTTACTTTGGCAGCACATTTGGGAAAGAAAGAGGTATGAATTATGATAAAAGGAAAGATTTGTAAGAAAAAAAAAATTGATAATAAATTTAAATTTTAAATTCTTCTTTAATTATTGTTTTATTTTCTCCAATATAATTATTTAACTATTAGTTAAATTACTTTTTAAACTAGGTGGAACAAAAGAAAAGTACTTATTTTACAATTTTGTTTATTAACATATTTGTTTACAAATTTTAAACTATTATTAGCACACTTTTAATTTAATTAAAATTTCTATTTAATTATTTAAATTTTAGATATTTGAATTAATTCTTAAATTAGAAGCAGATGTTGTCTGGATATACGGTAATGCAAGCAGTTATGCATATCCGTTAGCTCGTATTGATACAATAAGTCAGGAAACTGGCGAAATGAACGAAGATAGCGCTTTATCACTTACTGTTTACGGAGTAAATATGTTATTTGCTTAGTAATAGATTCTTATTTGCATAGCTATTTAGCATACAATAATGTAACAAATTTTTTCTAATTTAAAACATTCTGATGAAAAGTTATATGTTCCACTGAAATATATCAATTCATTAAATGCTAATTTTTTTGATATTATTTCAAAAAGTATTTTTATTTTTTGTAGTGATAAATTTTATTTACTAAACTAATAAGGTATAATTTTTTTTGTTTGTTTACCAGCCAATTATTTAGTTGTTGATTAATCAATTTAATTACATTTATGGTATGTTTATTTTTTTAAGCTAACTTTTAAGTGGTCAGAATTTCTGCCAAATAAGGAAAAAAAAAATATTTCAGTTTATAATTCAATATCTTCTTTCATTTATTTTTACAATGTACTTCAATTTAAATTAAATTTTAGGAAACAACAAAACATTTAGATCTTCTCGATGGTTTATTGGAGGAATTATTGGAAGCTAAATGGGAAGCATTTGGACGTCGATAGTAAGATTAAATTTTTAAAAATAAAATAGAAAAAAGTTTTCAAAATTATTTTTTTTTCTCAAAAAAAAAAATTTATTAATTTTTGTAATACTTTTAAATTAATAAGAAAAAAAAATTAATTAATTTTCGTAATATTCAGAAAATTAAGTTGAGATAAGCCGATACTATTTTATTTTTTTATAAATGAAAAAATAAAAAATTACATTTAATTAATATTTTTATAGCAAATTTTTTAATTATTTTATTCAAAAAATTAGAATTTTAAATTAAATTACCCATTTTTTATTGTAGTTTTAGTATGTTTTTTTTTATTTTATCAACTTTTTTTAAATTCAATTAGCAACAAAAAACGAATTAATTACTATAATTAATTAATAATTAATTATTAAAAAAAAATGATCATAAATACAGTTTGACATTGTCATTTTCGTGCTTTGTGGTTTATTTCATTTTTGTATTTATGGCTTTTATGTGTCGACCATTTTCGATGACAACAAAGGTTTCAATTTAAAAATGCTCAATTAGCATAATGAATATTTACTGATAATAATTTTCATATATTAAATATGTTAATTAATAAAATTACTAATATTATCATAAAGATTTTCAATCATTTCCAATTACTACATTTTTATCACTATTAATTATCAGTTAAGCACATATTCATTATCAATAATTAAAAATGTTAAAATAAAGGATATCATTCATGGTTATTTTTTATTAATCACAATTGACTTTTATGATCTTTGATCACTATCATTTATCATCTAATCATGCAATCATTATCAATAATAAATGATATTATTTATTTTTTTTATTAATCACAATTGACTTTTATGATCTTTGATCACTATCATTTATCACCTAATCATGCAATCATTATCAATAATTATAAATATTGAACAAACTACTGATATTTATGGTTATTTTTTTTTATTAATCCCAATTGACTTTTATGATCCTTTATCACCTAATCACTCAATCATTATCAATAATTATGAATATTAAACAAACTACTGATATTTATGGTTATTTTTTTATCATTTCTAATTACTTTATCTTTCTCCATTATCACTTATTACGTAACCACGCAATTATTATTAATAATTGAAAATGTTAAAACAAATTTCAATTTTAAATTCTTCTTTAAACTACTGATATTGATATACATTTATTTATTCCAATATAGCTTAATTATTTAACTATTAGCTAAACTATGGAAAGAAAGAAACTCATTTTCCAATCATTTTTTTATTCATTTTAATTACTCATCTTTTATCACAGCATATCACTTATCACCTTATCAACAGGTGTTAACACACGATGACATTCATGGTTCCAATACATCAATGCCATGTAATAATACCTCATTTGATAATTCTTGTCCTAATACCACCTATACCATATTTGATTATATGATGCTCAAAGCTACAACGCTGCAACCATTTTCATCGTACGCTGCAAACAAGCAAGTCACGTTTACGTTGCAAAATATTGGTATGCATTAAAAATATTTCATATTATAAATTTATACTTTGCAATTTCGCTTCTTTTTCTTTTTGAAAAAATATTTTTAAATTAGTATTGATTGTATTTTATCATATCTTTTAGCATTTCATTTCTTTTTACTAATAAATATTTATGCATAATTTTATTTATTATATAATTTTTTGTTTTCCAATTGATTATGATAAGAATTAAAGACGAAAACAAACAAATAAATAAACAAAATTTGATTTAAAAATTTTTTTTAAAAAAAACGAATTAATTAAAACAGTTAAAAATGTATATTATTTTTTATAATTTCATTTTTCTCTTAATTTAATGGTTCATTTTTCAAAAAAAAAAAAAAAAAAAAAGTTGTTTTGAAAAACTGTAACTCAGTTATTTTTTAATAGTTAATTATTAATAATTTTTTTTTTTTTACAGAAGAAGTTTGGTATCGTTCTGATCTTTGTCATCTATGGCGATATACTGGTTTAGGATGGCAACAATATGTAAGCATGCAAAATAAATAAAACAAAATTATTTTATTAATTAATATTAAATATTAATTTATATTTAATCGGTGGTTATTTAAATTTAATTTAAAAAAATTAAAAATTCCATTAAAGCCGTAATGCTGATATTAGCAATTCTTTGAATTTTTTGATAAAGGCATACAAAAATAAAAATAGTAATACTAAAATATTATAATTAAATAGATAATTAAAAAAAATATTGGAAATATAATTCTAACATAAATGGAATTTGTGAAGTATATGCTAATTAGTCCTAGGAAATATTGTACCAAAAAGGCAAAGCATTAATTATTTAATTAAATAATTAAATAATTTATTGTACTTAAAACAAAAAAAACAATTCTTTTTTTTTTTTTGAAAATTTTTATGGAACGAAGTGTTATATAATGTAAAATACATTTGAATAATGTTAATTTAATTTTTTAAATTAGAGTTGAAATTTTTTTTCTGCAACATTTTTAATTTAACTAATTTTGTTTCATTGTTTGTGTTTTTCCTAAAATTAATTTAGGTTCGATTAGTTGCTGAACTAATGGTACTTTTAATGGCATTACTTCAAATTGCATGTGATGCTATGGATATAAAAAATGTTGGACAAAAACGATGGTGGCGTGTTATGGTAATAATTTAAAATTATTTTAAAAAATTTTTGAATAAAATAAAAAAAAAAAAAGAAAAAAAAAAGGTAAATTCATAATAATTGAATGAGTCTTTTTTTTTCTCTTTTTTTTTTATTCTAGTAATATTTATTTTAAATTTATTTAAAAATTTTAAATTTATTTTTTCTTCTTTAAAAATTTCACACAATTTTTTAAATATAATAAATGGCAAAAAAATTTCAGAAATCATTTCCAGCTAAAGTTGCTTATAAAATTTCATTTATTTTTATTATTTTAATTGTACCAATACGATTAGCATGTGCATTATGCTCAGCAATGCTTCTACTTGAAAATATTCTCTCATTAATGATTGTTTTATTAACTGGCGCACATTTCTTATTTTATACAAGGTAATACTTTAATTTAAATTTAAATTTAAATTCAAAATAATACCTTAATAGGATGTATTTAGGGTTATTTGTGTGAAATCATGAATTTATTTAAAAATTGAGCGTTTTTTTTTTTTTGTTTTTTGTTTTTTATTTCTGTGATTAACATATCTGAGATTATGTAAATTTAAATTTATGTAATAATTATTTTTTTAAAAAAAAAAAAAAATTTTAGAGCTTTAAAATTTATTGGACCATTTGTTTTGATGATTTATACTATACTTTCACGTGATATAAGCCGTTTTATGCTTATTTATTCGATATTTCTCATTGGATTCTCACAATGTTTGTTCATTTCAAATTAAATCATTTTAAATTCATAAATAAACATTTTTATGAATAATTCAAATGTTATTAAATTGAGATTTTTTACTTTATTTACTGAATATTTTGGCCTATTTTCATTTTTTTTTTTGCTAAAAATTGTTCAAAAATAAGAAAAGAAGGATTAGCAAATGCAAAATTTTAATTTTTTCATTCTTACATTTTATACAATTATTAAATTAATCATTTTAAAATGCAATTTAAACATAATTAATTATAAGCTTAAACTGACATAAGTTTAAAGTTTTATTAAAACGGCGAAATTTAAATAAAATAAAATATTTTTCATTTATCATATTTTATTTATAAAAAATTTATTATTGCTAATTACTTTGTTGTCATTTAAAAAAATTTCCTTATCTTATAATTAGTGCAAAAATTTCTAATTTAATTTAAATTAGTATTTTGCTGAAAATTTAAAAATGTTTCATTCTTGAAAAAAAAAAAAAATGTTTTCTTCATCATAAATTTGTTTATTTCTAATAAATTTGCTTCTTTGATAACTTCTGTATATTAAAGAAATTATCGTTTTTTTTTTTTTGTTCTCTAAATTAACTATTAAGGCTCAGTAATTTAATTAATTTGGTAATGCTTTATATTTTTATTATATAATTTATTATATTAATTTGATAACATTCTACATTTTTATTAAATAATTTATTATATTAATTTAATAATATTCTATATTTTTATTAAACAATTTATTATATTAATTTGATAACAATCTATATTATTACTAAATAATTTATTATATTAATTCAATAATACTTTCTTTTTTATTAAATAATTTTAATTTGATAATACTCAAAATTTTTATTAAATAATTTATTATATTAATTTAATAATATTCTATATTTTTATTAAACAATTTATTATATTAATTTGATAACAATCTATATTATTACTAAATAATTTATTATATTAATTCAATAATACTTTCTTTTTTTATTAAATAATTTTAATTTGATAATACTCAAAATTTTTATTAAATAATTTATTATATTAAGTTCAAAAAAAAAAGAAAACTCTCTTTTTAAGCATTTTATGTAATTTTTGGAGCATGCGAACGAGCAAGCAAAGCAAAATACGGTAAACAATCAACTCGTTGGGAAAATATTTTGGACACTCCGTTTGAGGCCATCATGCGATTATTTATAATGACCATTGGTGAATTTACCATTTTTTATCGATCATTAAATACCTGTGAAGAAAGAATGATGCAAATGATTGGTAAGGTAAGTTTTAATTTTATTTATAATTTTAAAATTTTTGTAAGTTTCAACTTTTTTTTTAAAAAAAATTTAAAAGGAAAAAAAAAAACAATGAAATATGCAAAAACAAAAAAAGAGTTATACTTAAATTTGCAACAAAGAATGGTTTTTTTTGTTTTTGTTTGTTTGTTTTTTTCTTTTTAGTTTCGAAAGTGGAAAAAAAGAAAGCAAATAGTAAAAGGTATTTATTAAAAACAAACAAAAAAAGAAAATTCGAAAAATGAAGAATAAATAGCATTAAATTTAAGGCTGATTAATATTTTATGTTACATATATTTATATATTCATTTATTTATTTTTTATTTTTTATTTTTATTATTTATTTTTTTTTATATTCATTTATTAGTAATTAATTTAACAAATTAATTCATTTTGATAAATACAATGATAAGAATACTAAATGATAGAAGAAAAGTCATTTATCCATAAAAATTTTTTCAATATTAAATTTGAAGTAAATTATTTCTTTTTTCATATTTATTTTTAAATATAATTTAAATTGAAATGGTATTTATTTGTTTTTTTTTTTTTTTGATTACAGTTTTTGTTTACCATATTTGAATTATTTATCAGTATTATGCAGTTTAATTTATTAATTGCTATGATGACACGAACTTATGAAACTATTTCGAGGACATCAACCGAATGGAAAAGACAAGTTTGTTTTATATCAGCAAAATAATTATTGAAATAAATAACAGTAATGTTTTAAAGGAAAAAAAAAAGAGAGCGACTAATCACTATTAGTGATAAGAATTAATTATCAGTGTTAATTATTACAATTGGCATAATTATTCGTTAGCTAAATCCTTTTTTTTTTTTTTTTTAAATAATTTCATTTCATTTTAATTTCTTTCTTCTCTTAGAATTACTCCTAAATAATATAAAATCAATTTTTTTTTTGGTTTTTTTGAATGATAAATATTTTTTCAAATCCATTTTTTTTTTCCAAATTAACTTTTAATTTTGAATTATAAATATTAAAAATGATAAGTTGAAAAGTTTTATGAAGTAATAAAAATTATGAGTTAAATTTTTAGCACTTAGCACTACTAATCTTATTGAATCCAAATTTTAATATTAAATTTCAATTAATCATTTTCTTTTTTCTCTTTTACAGTGGGCACAGGTAATTCTATTCTTGGAGTTATCATTAAAACCAAAAGAACGACTTATTGCAATGCTTAAATATTCACGTCCAATTGGTACTGATAAAACAAAACGTTCATTTGTTGTTGCAAGAAAGAATACGGTTAATTAATTATATTTTTTCATTGTTATCAATAAATTTATTAGCAAAAAAATTTTATACTATGAAATAAATTTATTAGTAAATAAATAACAATAAATAAACGAGGAATTAATTTTGAAGTTAATTAATTTCTTTATTAGAGATTAAAAATTATTTCATTTTAATTCCATTTAAAATACGGTTCTTTTTGATTTTTATTGTGACAGATAATTCTTTCGCATTTTGATTTTGAAATTGTCATTTTGAATTTCATCCTAATGTTTATACTTCATAAATATTATTTTAAATTCTATCTAGTTACTACTTTGTATACATAAATATATTTTTCTCTATGAATAGATTATTAATTTTAGCTAACAATAATTTTAGAGTGAAACAATGTCACAAACTGAAAAACAATTACTTGAACAACAGGAACGTGATTTACGTGAGGAAAAACGAGCTTTACTAAAGAGACGTTTAAAGGTTAGTTAGTATTTTTTGAAAAGAGATTAAAATTACTTTTCTACTGATGAAAAGATAATAAAAAAGATTACTAATTAAAAGAAAAAAGATACTTACAAGAATTAATTCTCAAAAAGAGACAAAGATTTAAGCTTAGGTCTTTTTTTGTCATTATTTCTAAAGCTATGCTTGAATTTAAAATTTTTAAATTTACAGGATTTTGCGCATACACCAGATGGTCGAAGACCAATGACATCATATTTGTCAACGCCATCAAGAAATATCAACGGGGAAAAAAATGAATGAATTAAAAAAAAAAATGCTAAAAATGAAACTTTATTATTATTCAGTAATCCCTAAAATATAGTAAAAATAGAACAAATAAAACAAAAATATTTGAATTTTATTTTTTAACTAAAAAAATGCTTTTCATATTTAAATAATTAAATTTTGAACAAATTTTAAAAGTTCCAACCAAAGAAAAAACTGTAAAAAATTTTTCTGCTATTTTTTCATATTTCCATTTCTAATTTAATTAATATTCGAAATTTCAAAACTATAACAAATAAATAATTGATAATTTGAAAATGAATAAATAATTGTCAAAAATAAATGAACACTAAATATGTCTATTAGAAGTATTAACAATAAATAAAAAAGTAGGTGTCCACTACAGGTACTAAAAACAAGGAGATACGTGAATGTCCACTACAGGTACTAAAAACAAGGAAATACGTGAATGTCCACTACAGGTACTAAAAACAAGGAGATACGTGAATGTCCACTACAGGTACTAAAAACAAGGAAATACGTGAATGTCCACTACAGGTATTAAAAACAAGGAGATACGTGAATGTCCAGCAGCTTTAAATTCTCAGCTACAAGAAAGCTACTGCCCATCTGAAAATAATTAATTTAGTGAATGATAAATGATGAATCTGATAATAACTGATAATTAGCTTTATCACTCTAATTTAATTTATCAGATAAATATCAAAACGATAATTGATTATTTTCAACAATTATTGACATAAAAAATTTTTTGATAACTTTGATTTATAAATTTTGCAACAAAGATATATTCAACTATGACATTTTTTTTATTTTTATTTTGTTTATGAAATTTAATGTTAAAATAAATTATTTAGTACAATTTTTTTCATTCGTTTTAAATAAACAAAAATAACTTAAAATATTTTTTATTTTTTTGATTTTCATTACCATTAATATTTGAAAAAGAATGGAAAAAATAAAAAAAATTGTAAAATAATTATATAAATATTTAGTAAAAATTAGATTGCAAAATGATAATATGAAAAATTTTAAAAAAAAAAATCAAACAAATCAATAATAGATCAAAATTAAATAGTTCAAAAGAATTAGCATTAATTATAAAGTTGCAAAAAAAAAAAATTTGGATCAATTTTAATTAATCAGAAATGAAATATTTGTTTTAATTGATAAGCCATTTTGATATGTGACAAATATTTTAAATAACAAACTAAAATTAATTTCAAATTTAATATTTTAAACAATTTTAAAAGTGTTCTTAAATGTATGCAAAAAAATTCTTTTTTGTTTCAATTTAAATTTTTAAGCAATTTAATCAGTCTTTCAATAAATCACCAAAATTGTATTTTAAATGTAACTAAAAGTAAAAATTAGCAGAAAGAAAAAATTAACAAAACAAAAATATAAACAAAAACAAAAATAAACAAAACAAAAGATAAACAAAACAAAAAGATCAACAAAAATTTTAACAATAAAAGTAAAATTTTCCAAATCTAGCAAGAAAAATTTTGCTTAACTAAAATTCAAAGTAACAAAATTTAGTTTTAAGCTATTATTTTAGAGAAATATATTTTAAAAAATAAAAATTTAGAACTCATATTTTAATGTAAAATTTTGAAATAGCTAATTTAAAAGAATAGCATTTCAAAATCACTCTCACAATTTAATGTATTTCTAAAAGTTAATTGCTTTTTTTTTTATTTCAGAATAAATTCCAAAAATTTATTTTTTAAGACTTTTTGCAAAACTTTTCGCTTTAAAAGTTAGTTTTGCAAATTACACTTTCATTTCAATTTTTTTCTTTTTTTTTTTTGTTGCATGCAAATCTTTTATTATAACAAATTGTATAAAGGATTGTCCAATTAAAATTGTCAAATTATAGGTTTTAAAAAAAAATTTCTTTTCAAATTTTTATTTTTTAAATTTTTAAACACAAAAATTAATTCATTATATAAAAAAAACTTTTTAATCGTTATTTTATTATAAAAATTAATTAATTTTTCTTATGAAAAAGGAATAAAATTTTTTTTTTCTGAAATTTTGTTATCGATGAAAAATGAGAAATAATTGCTAACAAACATCATAAAACTAATGTTTATTTTAATATATTTGAATTCATTTTCATGAGAATATTTCAATTCTTTGAATTTTTAATTATGTAAAAACTTTCTGAGATTTTATAATTGCTTCAAAATTTTGTTTATTTTGCATTCTGAATACAAAATTATACGACAATTAGTATTAAATTATAGCATTTAGAATTGAAAATGAAAATAAAGCTGAAAAATAATAATTATTTTTAACATAATTAATTGTTAAAGGATTGGAAGTTTAAATTGGATGTTTCTCGATGAAATTTCAATAAACAAAATTTTAGCATAAATTTGTTTCAAATATTCATATGCATTTTTTTCAAATAAAAAAAAAAATCTTAAAGCTATCAAATCAGTATTAAGCTACTCTTTTTTCAATTTAACAATTTTTCACTAAATTTCATTTTCTTTCTTTCTTTCCTCCTTCTTCTCTCTCTCTCTCCCTCTCATTCTCTTTCTTATTTTTGATTTTAATTTATTGAAAAATAAATTAATGATATAAAAATATGGCATAATTTGCAATTCATTTATATAACCAATCTATGTTATCGTCCGTCTGAAAAAAAAAATTTTAAATTTGAAATTAATTTTTAAAATTGCACTCATTTTTTATCGATTTGTTTGATGAAATGATAATTAAAAATTGTTGCAGTCAAATGAAATGAACTATATACTAATTTCAGATTTTTTTTTCACTTCTTTTTTGTATTTATTAAGAAAATCTTTTATATTAATTTTATAAAATTTGATTACAGTACGCCTAATTACGGTATTTCGATTACAGTACACATAATTACGATATTTCGGTTACAGTATTAATTTTGGTTTAACAATCACTCATTGAATAATTAATTAATAATCGCAATAACACTTTCATTTTTATTAAATTATTCAAACAATAAACCTATGTTTTCAGTATTTATGAATGCCTTTTTTTTTATTTTAATCATTTTTTAACTATGCTAAATACTTTTTGTTGTTTTTCCACATCAAAATTAGGAAAGTAATGCAAGAAATATATTTTTAATAAAAATTTTACCATTTATCATTCTCGAAATTCAAAAAAGTTTGAATTAATTTAAACAATTAGTGCAAAATTCAATCTATGCAATATTTTTTCAAAATTAATACAGAAAAAAAAACAAAAATTAATTAACATTGTTAATAAGTTTCATATGATTATGTTTATCAGTAAATTATTTATCAATGATTTATTAAACAACAATTAGTTTTCAAATGGAACAATTTATAAAAGTTATACTCATAGAATTGTTTTTCTTTTGCTGAAAAAAAAAAAAAAAATTTTGTTTTCTTTAAAACTTTTCTTTTTCAACTAAAAAAAATGATAAATAATTATAAGTTGCTATTAATACATTAATTAACAGTTTTTAAATAATGTAAAAATTTAAATTAAACACATATTTCATTTCACATTAACATTTACATTAATTAAATTATAAACAAAAAAAAAAAAACAAAGAAAAAATCAAAAAAATTTAAGTAATACATTATAAAAAGTCAATTCAGTTATAATAAAAAAATTTAAATTGGATGAAAAAAAAAAACAATAAATTTGAAAATTTAATTTCATTAATTTCATTTGTAAGTAATTTTATTGATAAATTAATTGGTCATTGCACATTATTTTCAAATGTTAAAATGAGGCAACAAAGATTTACAATAGAATATCATAAAATAAAAAATTATTGATTCATTTTCAATTTATTCAATTCATATATTAATTGTTTAAAATTAATAAACGCTAAAAAAAAAACAATCACAAAAAAAGAGAGAAAATATAGAAATGAAAAGGCAAAAATTATTAAAATTATACCATACAATTTTAATTATATTAATCTAATTAAATTATGATTATTCATCATATTTTTATTATACAATGTCAAAAAATTTCATTTTGAAAAATTTGCAAATAATTGTTGGAAATTAAATTTATACTTAATTCTTTGTAAATAATTAAATAAATAAATAAATTTAATGTTTTGAATGAATGATTGAGAGTGTTATTGGATTTAAAATTTGCGAATTTTTTCGCATTTCCAATGTTCTTTTATGAAATTTTAATATTTCATTCTTCAATGGTTGATTTGATGATGGCGCATTTTGCATTGAACTTTGAACTGCATCTGGTAGTACAATAGAAATTGGTACAGTAAAAATATTATTGACATGTTGTCGTCGCAAATATTCCATCTTTTTTCGCTCCAATGCAATTTTATTAAATCCTTTATCGGTATAAATTGGCTTAAACCACCACGGAAAGAAATAATCGCGTAAAATCCAAAGATTGAAAATAAACCATGAAAGAAGGCAAAGTAAGCCAAATATGTAATAAATATTTTCACGAAATTCGATAAAATTTAGCAGATTGTACCTCCAAAAATACCTGCAAAAAAAAAAAAAAAAAAAACAAAAAGATAAACACAAAAATTTTCTTTAAATAATTTCAAAAATTTTAAAAGAATGAAAAAATTTCGCATTTTCCTAAGTTATTAAGCTTTTATTTATTTATGTATTTTTTTTTTTTTTTGTAGTAATTAATTATATCATAATTTGATGAATAATAAAATTTAAAAATTAGACGGTAAAAAATTTTCGTAAAACTTTAATTTTTTTCTTTCTAAAAAAAAGGAAAAAAAAAAGCAGAATTTAGAACGAAAATTTAGTTTGTATATAGTTTGAAAAGAACGATTGTCTAATTGACTTATAGCGAGAAAAAGGAAATGAATGGATTAAAGTTAGGATTATAATTTATTATTTATATATCAGAAAGTAATGTTTGTTTCAAAAATATTTCCAATATTTTATTTCAAATTTTTGCAAGAAATAAATGAATTTGTTCAATTTTAATTCTTTTTCTATTGCTTTTCAAAAAAATTTTCCTATTAACAGTTTAAGTGAAAT